TAATTGTTATAACTTCTTGATGGGTTGACCCTTTATCATTATCACACAAATTACAATTTATACATTATGTGCCTATTGACACAAATCTATAATTATTGCTTTACACAGTTGTTTTTTAATTTACATGAAAAGAGTTGCAAGTAAAAAATACATTTAACTGTCTTTTATTTTTACCTGTAGTTACCATGATCAGTGCTCTTATTTCTTCATGTGGATGCAGATTACTAGTGCCCTTTCACTGCAGCCTGAAGAACTCCATTTTGTATTTCTTGCAGATTCTTTGGGATATAGATAGTGAATTATAAGGAACATCCTTAACAAAATGCATAGGTAAATTACATATTTACATAAATAAACTGTCTTCCCCCCAAATCTGACTCTGCAGATGCTCTTTGGGGAAAAAAAAAAAGCCCATCTGGTTCTTCCTAATCAAGTAAATATGTTTCCAGAAATATAGTCATGAGCAGAGTTAAGTTTCAATATCTGAAAATTATAATGTAGCTTTGTAATATATATGTTTGTATATATACATGTATATATTTATTTCAAGCTAAAAGAGATTATAACCAATTCATTGTACCTAAGAGGAAACCAAAGCCAAAAGAAGTTAAGTAACGTGACTGAGGTTACACTGCTAGCTAACATGGAGGCCAGGCTAGAAATCAGATTTTCTGACTGCTGGTTCATAGTGCTTCCCCAGCAATCCACAGTTCTGTCAAGTCGCTGACTGTGATGACCGGCTTTGGTCACAATGTACTTCATGATCAGGGCACGAATCACGAGCTGGTCTGTAAGAATTGAACTGGAATAACTGACCCACGCTGATTAGGTTGCGGTCTGCCTGCGGGCTCTTCGCTAAGATGTGTAAGTGCCTTGCAAGCCAGAAACCTGACTTTCACACGATTTTAATCCTGATTTTTGCGCATTAATTTGAGTTAATCTTTTAGGTTTTCTTGGTCTGAGGTTCTCTTTCATGTTACTGAACGATCCCTCTTTGATGTCAGTCAAGCCTTTGGTAGACACTGTAGGTAGGCAAGTCATGAGCATGCATAAGGAATGAGAGCCACCGGGCAAAATGGGTCAGTTCAGTAATTAGAAAATTTGGAATTTTTTAGGGTTGTATGATATTTGTTATCTATTAGTCATGTTTGTACAGTCTTTCTCTTTAAACATTGTCTCATAGTGAAGATACAAAAGTCCATCTTATCCTAACATTTTTCTATCTTGTAATGGAAGCAGTTATGTTTTTAGACCCACAGTATGTTAATTTTATGGTATATGTGTGTTTTCTACTTTGATAAATAATCCTAAAAACACAAATTTAATGCTATATGCAGCAATGCATAATCTTTATTTCTAACCCTAATAAGCTAAGACTTCATTTACAAAATAGAGTTAAACTCACAATATTTAAAACTTAAGATAAAGTTAGAAAACCGTAAACAAATTAATTCTATGGGACCATTACAATATTATCTATCTATTTATTGGTTCGCAGGCCCGCACTCAATCCACTGAGCTACAACCAGCCAGGGCCGTCTATCTATTTATTTACCTTTACCTACCTACCTACCTATCTATGTGTGGTTTGTGCTGAAATGGAAACTTTGGCTCTTGAGTTTCCTAAAGGTGTCTCTGATGTAAATGAAATTTTTTTCCAGCCAGTACCATGGCTCAAATACCTTCCCAGCAAGGGACTGAGTTCAGCTATGCCCCTTTATAGAGCTTTATTTTCTTCCTTCAGGTACTGACAGCATATTCCTTGGACTAAGTGACCTGGTCCTGTTCACTGATGACAACTGCAGCTTTCTAGTCAGAAAACTCTTTACCCCAGGGATGTGTAAATTAGCCTTGCTTAGCTCTCAGGTGGTCCTCTCATGCCTCACAGGTGTGCTGTGATGTGGTTTTTACAAAAAGATTTTGATTGATTAAGAGAGAGAGAAATCACCTTCCTTATTTTAACTCTTCACCCTTATAATTCGAGCCCACGTTGAATGAAATGTTTTCAGTTTTGTTCTGTCTACTTTCGTTACTCTGTAGCCATAGGCTTTGCACCTGAGGTTATGACTGTTAGATGAACCAACAGGAGAGATGCAGGTGGTGAAAAGTGATGGGTTGTGGATCATTTTGGCACTACCACTATTCATAGTTCCTCTGTTACCCATCATTACCGCCCCACTGTGTGACAATCACAAGTGTCATCACTCACCACCTCCCTTACCGCGATGAAGGCCTCATAGAGTGCATACAAGCAAATGCCTTTTTAAAAGTTAGATTGCTGTAAACAGTCTTCATATTAGGTATTGTCCGTAATGCCCTCTTTCTCTGTTTAATTCTTTGGTGATAAATTTCCAGAGAACCATGTGCACATTTTTGTTTATGACTCTGAGATTCCAGGACTACCCATTGAAATACTCTTTAAAAAATTAGCCAAACAACTGTCTTTATCACAGTATGTAGATGGTTCTTAGAATTAAAGTAAATAAAAATTAAAATTATATACATATAATCTATTACAAAGAAGACAGCGAGCCCCAAATGGAGTCACCTAAGCCCCACATTGCTTAACAGAGATTCAAGGACGATTTCAGCTTTCTCAGAAATGGGACCCTAAGCCAGTCAGTCAGGAATTGCCTTGGTACTGGTCCAAAGTCCGTGTGCCTGATGCTTGGAAAGGCCAAAACTCAAAACATCAGAGTTGGGGAAAGGAAAGGTTTATTGGTTGAGAAGGTGCCAGCTGGAAGCTGGGAGCTGTGGTGGGGCCTCGAATCCATCTCACCAGAGTCCGGGCTTCCTTTATGTCAAAGCAAGGAGCAATGGGAGGGGGGCGTTTGTAAAACTTAAACCAAAGCAGAATTCCTCTAATGATTGGAAACTGTTCACCTGAAGGCCATGGGACCAGAGCAGCCTGAACAAGATGGAGTCAGACAGAGAGCCAGCATGTCACTCTGCAACCGGCGGGTAAGCACTTGGCTAAGCTGCCCGATGGACCCTGGCCATCCCTTAAAGGAAAGCAGCCTTGCAATAACCAATCGATTTCTTCTTTGGCTACTATAACATCCTTGTTCCCATCCTGTAAAAGTCTTTCATTTTGCAGAGCTCCTCAGTGCTCCTTTCTGCCTGCTAGATTGGATGCTGCTCGATTCAAATCATTTTTTGCTCAGATAAACTCATGCTTTTTAATGTGCCCCAGTTTGTCTTTCAACGAGTCTCACCATCCAAAGCTAACCATGGTTAACCCCCCACACAAGAAAATTTGGTGTGCAGTACTCCAAACTGTGTTCTGTGCGTTGACACATACGGAGTCACAGCACACACACTGTTCTATAATCTCTTTCTTTTACATTTTTATTGTCTTTTTTCCACTGCCATAGCCTCTTTATATCCCCTTCCCTCTGCAAGCACCACACCGTTGTCCATGTCCCCACAAGTCCTTTTACTTTCTTGCTTGATCCCTCTATGCCCTAAACTACTCACCCCCCTTAGCTGTCATCCTGCTCTCTATCTATGAGTCTGTCTCTATTTTCCTTGTCAGTTCAGTTTGCTCATAGTTTCCACATATGAGTGAAATCATCTGGTGTTTGTGTTTTCTCTGACTGGCTTATTTCACTTAGCATAATTTTCTTATTTTTACTTTACAGCATAACACGCACTTTTCCATACCAATGAATACAGATAGAAATGTACATGACTGCTTTATATGAATGCCATTGTAATATATTTTAGAAAGATATTTTGTCTTGAATGATAAACTAACCAAATTTAATGATTACAGCAGCTAAAAAGAGGTCTGGCTCTACTTCCTTCCAAATAATGGAATTAGCATAATTCGACTGAAAGTCTGACATAATTAATCCAGATGCTTGATTACTGTTTTGATTCAACCTGTTTTCATGAGAAAGACTTCTGTCTCTCCCTACAGAATCCCACCTCCGACTACTAGTAGAGCTGTGTTCTTACCCTGTTTCCGTAAAATTGGCTTTAGACAGACTGTCTTGCCTTTTAATTCCAGTTCCACCACTTACTAGTTTTGTGAAGTTAACTCTCTGAGCCTCAGTTTCCTCATTGTAAAATGGGGTTAGTAATAACTACCTCACAGACTTGTGGTTTTATTATATACAATGGTATGTACTATGTTTTATAAATTGTAATTATTATTCAAATTATTGTAAATACTTTTTCTTCTCCCAAAACTCCTAAAAATTTGACTCAGAAATATTTTACTATTTGTTTGCATTTAGTCTTTACTTAAAGCATATTTTTTATTAAATCAATACTAAATAAAACTTGGAATCACAGCCAGTGAGACTAAAGTCTTTTTTCTTTGAAGACTTTATCTATTTATTTTCTTTAGAGAGAGGGGAAGAGAGGAAGAAAGAGAGACGGAAACACTGATGTGAGAGGGAAACATCGATCGGTTGCCTCTCATACAGAGATCGAACTGCAACCTGGGTATGTGCCCTGACCCGGAATCAAACCCACAGCCTTTGGTGCACAAGATGACACTCCAACCAACTCAGCCAGGTGAGAAGGGATATATATGAAAATTTTTAGAGGGAAGGGAAGGAAATATCAATCAGTTGCCTCTCACTTGCTCTCAACTGGGGACCTGGTCCACAACCCAGGCATATGCCCTGACTGGGAATCAAACTGGTGATCTTTGATTCACAGGCTGGCACTCAATCCTCAGTACTCGATCCACTGAGCCACACCAGCCAGGGCAAGGGGAGGGATATATTTTAACAAACAAAACCTGTTATTATTTATTTAGCAATTTTATAGTGTAGATAGTATCTTGGGTTCTGTTACTGAGCACATTTTTAGTAAGGACTAAAACAAATAGAGGAGGAAATAGGAAACCTGCAAGAAGAGGGCAAGTTACCAGGAAAAATAAAATGAAGGAATGCAGTTAAACTTGACCTAAGCTTTGGGGAATTTCTTACCCCACAACAACATAAGCAGCTTGTATTTGTCTTCAGTCAACTCAATTTTTTTTTCAGATTGATGGTTACCCAGAATTTTTGAGTCCACAATATAGAGAAACCAACCAACACATTCGTACAGTCTGTTCATCTCTTTTGAAAAAGAATGTGAAAAATAAAAAGTTGTCAGGACATTTTTGTTACCATTTCATCACACCAATGCTAACAACGAAAAAGGTATGTAATATACTTCTTAAAGTAACATGAGAAAAGATACTTTTCTTTACGAGACAAAAAAGATAATGTGCTTTTTTTCCTCCCCAGCTTTCCTGAAGTATGATCAACAAATAAAAATTGTATATATTTAAAGTATACAGTGTGCTGTTTTGATGTATATATACACTGTGAAATGATTACCACAACCAGGGTCATTAAGACGCCCATCACCTCACAGGGTTGTGTGTGGTGAGAACACTTGAGATCTACTTTCCTTGCAAATTTCAGGCATATGGTGTAATGTATTACCATTAACTGCAGTTACCACGCCAGGCATTTGGGTCTCCAGAGTTTAATTATCTTATAACTGCAAGTTTGTTCCCTCTGACCAACATCTACCATTTTCCCACCCCTCTAAGCCCCTGGTAACTGTCATTCTACTCTCTGTTACTATAAACTTGCCTTTTTAAAGATTCCACATAGGTGAGATTGTGCAGTATTTGTCTTTCTGTGCTTGGCTTATTTCACTTAACATAATGTCTTTCAGGCTCATCCATGTTGTGGCAAATGACACAATTCCCTCTTTTTAAGGCTGAATAATATTGCGCTTCATGTGTGTGCCTTTTCTTTATCCATTCATCTGTGGCTGGACACTTAAGCTGTTTCCATGTCTTGGCTACCGTAAATAATGTCACTATGAATATGGGAGTGCAGATATCTCTGCGAGTAATTTTAGAGTCCTCCTTCCCAGCACGGCACAGTCGGCCAACATCCCGGCACTGAATCTCCTGCAGCTGGAAATGCTCACAACCAGCTGGACCAGGAAGTGGAGTTCTTCTCCACGTCCATTGCCCAGCTCAGGGTGGTACGAACCAAATCTGTGGAAGCCAAGGGCTGTCTAAACACGCTGAACAAGAGCAACAATGGGAAAGAATTACTCGTCCCATTGACGAGTTCTGTGTATGTCCCTGGGAAGCTACAAGATGTGGAACACATGCTCACTGATGCGGGAACTGGCTATTACGGAGCGAAGACAGCTGAGGATGCCAAGGACTTCTTCAAAAGGAAAACAGACTTCCTCACCAAGGTGATGGAGAAAATCCAGCCAGCCCTGCAGAAGCGTCGTGAAACAGGTTGTCATGGAGATGGTGAGCCGGAGGATTCAGCAGCTCACAGCCCTGGGGCAACTTGGGTTGCCGAGGCCTAAGACCTTGTTTCAGAGATCGGGCAGAGGGGCCCTACCTGCGGGGGCCTGGGACTTTGTGGTGGGGGAGGTTAGGGTTTTGTGTGTAATGCCAATAAATGTTCCAGGTGGGGGAAAAAGAAGAGTGATTTTGTTCCCTTTGCATATATACCCAGATGTGGGATTGCTAAATTATATGGTAGTTTTATTTCAATTTTTTGAGGGGCCTTCCACATTGGTTTCCAGAATGGCTGTACATTCCCACCACAAGGGCACATCCTTGCCAACATTTATTTCTTGACTTATCATAGCATGAAGTCATCCTAACAGATGTGATGCTTCATTGTGGTTTTGCTTTGCAATTCCCTGATGATTAGAGACACTGAGAAGATCATGGTCTTTACACTGAGGATGAGCTGAACAATCCATTATCAGCAGCATGGTGCCAGGGCATAGTTTGCCATGAATCAGATATGCACAAAGGGAGGGAAGAAAGAAAAGGGTGGAAAGAATGAGGGAGGGAAGAATGGGAAAGAGAAGAAGAAAGAAAAAGAGAGAAAGAAGAGTGTTCACTAAATATTGTTTTTTTTTTTAAATGAATTAGAATTTGGATTCCATTTAGTCGGTTCTTGTTTGATTCTAACAATCTTATCAACACCACAGATTTTAATGAAAAAACCTAGTGAGGAAGTGCAGGGGTAGCTGGGAAGACTGTGCCCCTGGCTTGGGGAGAACTCCTGGCAGCCTTCGCTGTGGACCTTCTCACCAGCAAGGGAAGCCACGAAGTCCTGCCCTGATAATTATGGTTATTAACAGTATTCACTCAAAAGTATTTGTTGGGAATCTGTTCCTGCAAGGATGATGATACACACCTACACAAAAAGAATTTTAAAAATCACCTTCAGATTTTGTGTTTAGGGAGCTCCACAATGGATACAGGCAATTTTCTTGCTGTATTTAAGGGCCTGGAAAATCAGAAGTTGGATGGGGAGGATGAGGAGTCAGAGCTCACCTGGCTCAGCCAGAGATGCCCTGCTCTTGTTTCATATTTGGGGCTTTGCCTAAATGTGTCTTGTGAATTCGTTTTTAAAATTGAAAGATGAATTGATTTTAAAAAGTGTGCAGTTCAACATTATACTGTTTCCTTTCACGGTCTTCTTTTACACACATGTATATGAAAGATACATGTACATAAAGGGACCTTTAGGGTATTGAGCCCCATATTTAGTTGTTGGTAAAAAGCAGAGGAAAGAGCATGGACTTTGGACTGAGCTAAGTCTGGATCTGAAACCCCGCTCTCACCTTTCCTGGCTGTGTGACCTTCTGCAAGGTCACTTAACCTTTGTGAGCCTCAGTTTTCTGTTCTTTGCGATTATCTTCACAGGGTTGGTGTATTCCAGGAAACAAGGTAGGCAGGGCTGGGCATACCGTAGGAAAGCAGTTAAGATCTCAACTGCAGTGCAGAAGGAGAAGGGGAGAATGAGGTCCAAGGTGGCTGCCGCATTGAGGCCCTTCCATTTCTGGCATCTATCTCGTGTAGCCAGACCACCTCACTGAACCCATTTCCTCCTCTCTAGACTCCACTCCAAGGCAGACTCACAGCCTCTTCAGTACTGAATAGGTACAAAGTGTGAGAGAATTGTGCAACATTTGTACACCCACAGATGAGCACTTTTCCACACTGACACTCGGTGACACGGCAACTGTTTGTAGAAGTTGTTGTAACGAGCTGACTTATTAAATCCCTGGGTGCTCCCCAGGTCTCTTGGCACGTTAATTAGGATATCTAACTGGTGTTTGTTGTCTTAAATGCATATTTATCCTGGTCCACAAGCGTAATTATTTTCAGTCTTTTTCCCTCCCAACATGTATAAGACAGAAACACATTAAAGAAGCCAATTACATGTAGAAATTTTATGAAATTTAAATTCCTAGGAATTTTGTAAATTATGTTAAAAGCAGTGAAGTTTTTAAAAAATACTTATTGGGTGTTCTCGGACATGGTTATTCATAGGATCACACCTCTCCCCACCTGATTTCTACTTTCATCTCTGAAGGCGCTGTCTGGCCCTCTTACACAAGGACTTTTGAAAACACAAAACCGCCACTGTCAACAGGAGTCACACACAGCACACGTGAGAGGATAAAGCACACGCCCCCTCTCCAGCATGCCAACAGCGACATGCTCAGTGCTTCAGGTCGCCTGCTCCCTCGGTTAGGGACCACTGTGTATAGATGACCCCTGTGGCTTGTTGGATATTCTGTAATATGTGGTCTGGAAGCAAGACATACGCCCAAACCTGTGTGACTACCCACTTGACCAAGGCAGTCATTTCCAAGGTCTTTAATGTTAATGACGATGACGTCATGCCTGCAGCGTCAGCACGTATGAATGCTGGAGCATTCGAATACTAATAACTATTAGGCCTGACTGTGGCAAAGGTGCTTCTGCTCTGAATAACTGGATCATCTTAACAAAGAAAGCTCAAAATCACAAATAATTTATCATAAAAATTCTTAGTTTCATTATCCTTTTACCAGGATTCCTAATTAGGCCCAAATCTTCTGGAGAAAAAGAGGCTTTTCTCTGCAGCATGCACATGTGCTTGTATGGGCCACAGTTAACACTTTGAATTGTGCTTTTTATGTTTAGATGAAAGAGGATGATTATTAAACTCTAAATGAATGGTGCTACTGGGAGCAGAGGGACAGTGGTGAACGGTATGAGCAGCTAAAACTCCAGAATTGAATTATTAACCCCTTACTTTCAGGCACATTCCAGAACAGCACATTCTAGAAAGTCCAATAGGACTTTCTGCAGTGATGAAATTGTTCTATACATATCTAGTCAAATTATGTTTAACATACAGGGGCAATCAGTTACCTCTGGCCACTGAACATGAGATGTGCCTAGTGTTACTGACTGAATTTTAATTAAATTAAATTTAACTTTAAATTTAAATAGCCACAGGTGGCTACTGACTACCAAATGGATCACTGGAGCTCTAGAATCAGAAAGAAGATCTTCAAGGATTTAGTGGCACATTTGGAAAAATTGCCATAAAGTGAAATAGACTAACCCCAAACCAGAATGAAAAATAACTTAATGAAATGTGAACTGAACCAAAGTTTGTGTGCGTGTGTATAATCTTTATTTTAAACCTAAAACATAGACATTTTCTAGAATCACTGATGTGGGGCTGAATCTAAAAGAACAAGGCACTGATATGGCGCTCTGCCTTAGTGGATAATTTCTACATAAGCTTGGCACTCTTCCCCGGGGAGACAGGGTTTAAAAAATATCATCCAGCCCCCTGCAGTTAAGAACGCAGATGCACCCTTTCTGTAGCGTCACTTCTGAGAGCGTTTCTCAGCGGACCAGCACGACTGAACACGCCGTCAGATGCACATTGTGCCACGCGGCTGAAGGACTTCATATGTCAGGGGCTGAAAAGGAGGGTAAACTGCTGTGTGCACACTAGACAATGCACCTGCAGACACCTCTACTGTCTGCTTTCTCTACTCAGGCTCTCTTGTCACTGTTGCCTCCTACCTGCCAGCTTCTGCTTGTTGGCGCCCAGGAGACCAGACATTCCACTCACTGCAGAAACAGACCTCAAAGCCATACTTCGTTTCTCGGTGGAGCGCACAGATGAACCTAAGGTTCTCCACACCGCTGTTACAAATAAAAATTTAGAGCTATTTATTATAAAGAGAGGCAGGAACACTGACCCTACAGTTGGTTTGTCCCAACCTTTTAATGACCTCCCCAAAAAAGAGCAAGTGCAAGTTGGTTATTGAATGTGGATGAGATTAAGTTTGAGACAACCTAAACCTAGGTACGGCTTGTTGCTCAGGTAACACTGCTTCCACATGATCTCTCCCTCCTTTCCAGCAAACTGTCATCAGCAATGTGCTCCACGTTGCTACTCCTCCTCTAAGCAGCTTGTTCCCTGGACGAGGTATTGCTGTACGCCCAGGACCACTATGGCTCACGTCCCAGAAATTCTGTAATAAGTGGTCTTGAAGCAAGAGATGGGCTGGAAACTGTTTGACCTCTGGGCCACATGTGCTATGTTCTACTTAATTCCAGCAGTAATCTAAGGCGAAAAGTCTATCACATTTAGTACCTGTATTTGTGAAAAGACACTATTAGAAGTGTCTTTGATGATCGGGATCTTAAACACTAATGCATCAGTAAAGGTTCTTAGCTTGCAAGTAGGAAAAAAACAAAAACAAAACAAAACAGCAAAATTGATTCTGCCTATCTTAGTGACAAAGGGAATTCATTGGAAGGATTTTGAAATCTCTTAGTGAATCAAAAGGGGAACAGAAGAGCCAGATAGGAGGATACCAGAAATCAGGGACCTGTTCCAGGGCCTGTGGGGGACCTTCCAGGGTCCCCCCAGCTTCAAAGACCCCAAGCTCTGCCTCTCAGGTCCACATCTCATGAGCCTAGGGTGAGACATTGATTGGTCCAATTTGGGTCAGCAGCACCCTTAGATTATTCATCTGTGACTAGGGCAGGTGTGGGGATGGAGCCAGATTTTGTGGGGACTAAAACTCATCGAATGCCCAAAGTCCTCTTCAAGAAAAAGAGTTAAAACACCACACACAATGACTGCAGCACTCTGAAGAAACTCGGCCGAAGAAATCACAAATATCAAGTGCCTGTGGTTACTCCCCAAGAGGGGAAGTGAAACCAAAGGAAAACTGAAGTGGGAAGAGCCTGTGGTCTTAAATGACTGTGATTGAAATGTCTTTCCTTTGCATATTTTATAAGAACATTTGACCATGTAAACACATGGTTAGAGCCTCTCCTAAGACTTTGGAGGGAAGGTGCTGGGAAGACAAAATGACAGGTGACCACCACATCTTGGCCCCTGCAGCAGTCACCTGCAGCTGCAGCTTCCTGAAGAACACTTTTACACGCACCAGACCTTTTGCCTCAAATCCCCAGGTGGTTTTCAGTTCTGATGAGCTGCCCCAGACTTCAAGGGGGCTACCCCGACCTCTTAGGCCCAGACCAGAGCAAGCCTTCGTGGTCTGCACCCTCCCTCTTTCCACAGGTGCCATCCCATCTAGCATTGTCTGTGGTCCTCCGGTGTGAGAAGGTTCTTTCTCCCAAGCACAGAGGTGCCTTGAGATTCTCTCAGACCCACAGGAGTGAGAGACAAGAGTTAGGCAGAGCCGTTCAAAAGGGGGTGGGTCAAACTCAGTGAAAGTACACAAGATTTTGCATTAGATACTTAGTAGGTACTATTACTAGATTGCTTATTACACACTTATTAGATACTATTATCTATCCTTCCAAATAAACAAAATGCACACATAATGGGAGGAACCGACAGTTTTCTTGATGTAAGTTATGATTGGTTCTTTTGAGTTTTACTTCCTTTTCTATTTAAAATTTTTTTTATTGTATTGTATCCATTACCATTTATCCCCCTTATACTCTCTGCCCTCTCTCCCCACCTCCTCCCCCCAGCAATCGCCACACTGCTGTCCACGAGTCCTTTTTCTTTTCTGCTTGATCCCTCTACCCGCTCTGCCCCTGCCCCGGGAGCTGTCAGCCAGCTCTCTATGGGTGAGTTTCACTTTAAATTCAGCTAATGTTTATCACATAATTACTCTGCCAGGCATCATGTCAGTTATATTTACACACATTACCTCATTTTCATTCACAGAATTACCATCTTCATTTTTACTGAAGACACTGAGATGAGAGCAATAAAGTAACCTATAAAGTTACTGAATTTGAATGCACATGCTTTAATGTCAAAGCCAAAGTTCTCTTTGTTTTGTCTGCTGCCCAGCTTATAATTTTGTACTTGTACGTTTTTATGAGAGTTGACATACACCCATCGAATCAGTGCATGTGACTACATTTTCATAAACGCGTGAATTTATTGTAATTAAAATATAATCAATGTAATTAATTAATTATAACTGAAATATAATTAATGACCAAAAACCTTTCTTTTCTTTCAGTCAAGGAAGAGGACAGTGGCCCTTTCCTTGGAGAGGTAAGGGGCCTACAGGTCTGGACGAGTCTTCTCTCAGGTGAGACTGCTGTTCGGAGTGTGTTTTTAACTTGCCGACCAAAACTTGTTTTACGTTACAATTTGTTCATTTTTTAAGGCTTTTTCTCTGCTAATAGCTTTGGACCAAATTCTCTTTTTCTCATATATGTAGTAAAGGAGAAGGTATTTTGACAGAACCTACTTTAAATTCAAATTGTACATAGTAAAGTATAATTTTTATCCTTTAGTTAAAGACAAATGGTAAATGGCAAACAGTCATATAGTAATGGTAAATAGTAAATAGTTATATAGTAAAGTATAGTTTTTCTCATTTCAATTGAATATATCAATGTCAAAGTAAATAATTGATTAAAATTATATTAAAAAAAACAAGGACTTCTGGCCAAGAGGTGTAGGTACATACATTTTGCCTTTTCACACAACCAAAAGAAGGACTACAACAAATTTAAAAACAAAAAATAAACAGAAATGCCAGAAAACTGAACTGTATGAAAGTCTGACATCAAAGAGTTAAAGAAGAAACATTCATCCAGACCAGTAGGAGGGATGGAGAGAGGCAGTGGGGGCAGAGAGGACACATGGCAAGGCAGAGGCTGGTGGACTGGGCAGTCTCACATTTGCATGTGGATAAACTAGGAGGAAAACTGGGGAGTGAAACAGACCAGGCAACCCAGGGGTCCAGCGGTGGGGAATAAAGCCTCAAAACCTGTAGCTGTAAAAGTCTGTGGGGGTTGCAGCATTGGGGTAACTCCCAGCCCCACGGGCGAGTTCACTGGAGAGACCCACAGGATCCTAGAACATACACAGACACATCCACCCAGGTATCAGCTTGTGGGTAGCAGGGGAAGTGACTAAAAGCTGGCTAAGAGCCAGGCAAGCAGCATTGTTCCCTCTCCGACCCCTCCCCCACATACAGTGCCACAATGCAGCAAAGTGGGCTGCCTCACCTTGGCAATAACTCAGGCCCCACCCCTTACAATGAAACAGGTGTGCTGAGACAAAAAAAAAAAATATGGCCCAAATAAAAGAACAGAACAAAGATCCAAAAATAGAACTAAGCAATGAAGAGACAGTCAACCTATCAGATGCAGAGTTCAAAACACTAATAATCAGGATGCTTCCAGAAATGGTTGAGTATGGTCGCAAAATGGAGGAAAAAGTGAAGGCAGTGCAAAGTGAAATAAAGAAAAATATACAGAGAACCAAGAATGAGGGAAGGAAACTGGGACTTAAATCAATGATTTGGGGCAGAAGGAAGAAATAAACATTCAACCAGAACAGAATGAAAAAACGAGAATTAAAAAAAATGAGGAAAGGCTTATGAACCTCTGGAACAGCTTTAAACATTCCAACATCCAAATCATAGGGGTGCCCGAAGGGGAAGAGGAAGAGCAACAAGTGGAAAACTTATTTGAAAAAGTAATGAAAGAGAAATTCCCCAATCTGGCAAAGGAAATAGATTTCCAGGAAGTCCAAGAAGCTCAGTGTCCCAAAGAAGTTGGACCCAAGGAAGCACATACCAAGGCACATCATAATTACACGATCCAAGATAAAAAATAAGGAGAGAATCTTAAAAGCAGCAAGAGATAAGGGGACAGTCACCTACAAAGGAGTTCCCATCAGACTGTCAGCTGATTTCTCAAAAGAGACCTTGCAGACAAGAAGGGGCTGGAAAGAAGTATTCCAAGTCATGAAATCCAAAGACCTACACACAAGATTGCTCTATCCAGCAAAGCTATTGTTCAGAATGGAAGGGTGGATAAAGTGCTTCTCAGATAAGGTTAAGCTGAATGAGTTCATCATCACCAAGCCCTTATTATATAAAATGTTAAAGGTACTTATCTAAGAAAAAGAAGATAATCAAAACTATGAAATGTAAAATGACAACAAACAACTATCAACGACTGAACCTAAAAAAAAACAAACCTAAAGCAGGAGCAGAATCACAGAAATGGAGACCTCATGGAGGGTTATTAGCGGGGAGAATGTGGGAAAAGGTACAGGGTATAAGAAGCATAAATAGTAGGTAGAAAATAGATTGGGGGAGGTTAAGAATAGTATAGGAAATGGAGAAGCCAAAGAACTTATATTTATGACTCAGGGGCATGAACTAAGGGGGGAGAATGTTGTGGGAGGGGTGGTGCAGGGCAGGGGGGAATAAAGGGGAAAAAAAAGTGGGACAAACTGTAATAGCATAATCAATAAAATATACTTAAAAATTAAAGAAACATTTATTGAGCTCTGGTTCTGTGTGATGAATACAAAGCTAAGTAAAGCATAGTTTGTATCTTTGAGAAGCAGATTCTAACCAGGATGCATGATATTTGCATAAATAAAGATAACAGAAAGTATACATGCTGCATGTAATGAACAGCTTGGGTAATTGTCAAAGAATTTAAAGAGGGGAAGGTTTATACTCAGTTCTGCAGAGAAGTCAAGATGCCAGATGACAGCTGGTGAAGAATATAGCAAATGGAGGTGGAGAGAATAGTAGAAGCTAAAAATGAGGCAGAAAAAACATGGACTATTTATTAGGAAAGGTCAGCCGTCTAGTGTGACTTAAAAATACAACATCGTAACTTGATATAAAGTTAGAGAGTAAAATTGGGCCCATATTTTGGAGGGTCTTAAAAATCCAGGTGAAGATTTTACATGTCACTTCATAAGTTATTAGAAAAACTATCAGAAGTTTTGAGTGGGAGAGTATGATAAAAATCACTATCACAGAAAATAATCTGACAGTTGTGCTTAAAATGGATCGAAGCTGGGAGAGACCAAAGACTGCTGGGAAGTAATGGGAATCGAATTGGGCTATTGGTAGTAGAAATAAAGAGAAAGGGAATGGATGGGAGCAATACTTCAGAGGTAGAATCTACAAGACTGTCATTGATTAAACCTGAGAGAGGAGGAAAGAGACACCACTGTGGTTTCAAGCTCAGGTGACTATGAGGTGATGCTTTTCAGAGAAAAAAGGATGTCAGGAGGGATCAAGTCCAGTGCTGGTTTAGACAGGTTAAGCGTGAGGTCCTTCATCTGGCAGCTAAAATTTCAGTCTGTACAGTGGGAAAGAAGCCCAGGTATAAATTTAAAAAGGAGTTTCCTGAGCTTCATAACTCAAAGTATGATTCTATTACACACTTTAAGTGTTAGACACTAGAAGGAGGAGGAGGGGAGCATACGATTGCGAGAGCTGTGAGGCAAGAGATACACAGGCATGGGGAAATTAACCCCTTGTGGTTGGGGCCTGGAAAGGCAGGTCAGGCAGGCGGAAAGGGCTGAGTTGGGAAAACACTGCAAAATGCTGTAAAGGAAAAGTGAACTCCAGCGGGGCGTTGTCACAGGACTGTGGTGCGCAGTGACGTGGGCTTCGTCCAGTGCACCTTCGCTCACTCTCACCTTCTCTTGCTGTTTTATCAAGATGATCTACGAGGTCTCTTCTAAATCTAAATTTCATTATTATAACATCCTTTCTCACCAAAAATTATTTTGGGGTTTAGGAAGATTCTTTTTGTTCCTGGAAAAGCATCACTTGGAGATGCTTTACAGAATTTTAACTTTACGAGCAACTATTCTGGATAAGAAAATTCAGTGGAAATTTAGTGGTGGAAAATGGTTACAGTAACCAACTTTTTAAAAAGTTTTTAGAGTTTAAGGAGTTAGCGTTTAAAAATGGTCTCTGTGTTCCTGTCAGGGTTTTCAAGGCTTTGGAGGTTCTGATTATATTTGAAGCCAAAACATCAGAAACACTTACTGGCGGAGGCAGGCTTGACTAGTAAGTGTTTTCTGTTTTGCATTGCAAACCATAGATATCCCAGGGTGCACACCAAGACCGCTGCGTGATGCAGGTCCTGGGGAGGGGACCAACGGCCTGTATAACCGAATCCCTTCCACTAGGGTTTCTCAATGGGGTGCTGTTGGCATTCTGTGTGGGACCATTCCTTGTTCTGCAGAACAGTCCCCCACACTTTGGCACTTGAAATTTCTGGCTCTTGTCCACTACTGGGCAGTAGTGGGCTCTTTTGTCCACTAAATGCCAGTAATGTTCCCCATTATTGTGGCAACTGAAACATAGCACCACATTTCCAGCAAAACCCCTCCTGCTGTTGCCAGCTGACAACGCACTTGTAAAGTTCCGTTGCATTTCCCCATCCTGTGCTCTTTCTCCCTTCTCTGTGCAGTCCTCTCTAGCCTTCCCTAGCAGACATGCTTGCTCTCCCTATAAAGTCCTGCACTTGAGCTTTTATTGACACCACAGCGTGATAACTTAATAGCACAAATTTAGACTGGTCCCCCTTCTGTGGTATTTCCATTTTACCAGGCGTCAAAGCCAGAAGTGCAAGGAAGGCTCTGTTAATAGAATTTTGTTTTCACAGCTTTTTTTGAGGTATAATTTACACACAATAAACTGCACTATTTAAAGCGCACAATTTGATACATTTTTTTTTCATATGTGTACACCAATGAAACCATCATCACAACCAATCTCTTATATCTCCTCCTTCCTGCACCATGACCTGGAAGCCTTTTTTAAGTCAGTAACCCAGGGCAACTGTTAGTTCTCACCTTTCCCTACACCTCTCAGAGCTCAACTTTCTTAAGCTGTTCGATGTTCAGTGTCTTAAAAGCTGTGGTTTTTTTTCATATATTTTTCTGGTTCTTGGTTGTTTCAGGTGGGAGGTATATCTAGTCTTGATTCATCTAGGGCTGAACTAGACGAAATCTAGTAGCATTTTAAGCTTATACCAGTATATATGGAAAAGGACTTGGACTGGTATCAGACCTTTCTTGGAACCAGTGATGGTTCCAGAATTTCCATAAAAAAGATTCCATAAAAGGTAGTAGTAAAAGGAGGGACCAGGGGGTTCCTCTACGTAGAATGCATGCTTATTCCAAATGCAACCGTGCTTATTTGGAGTGGCTTCTTCCAGCTCTCTTTCCTTTGGTAGGCACAAAGCACTATTATGTTATGTTATGTAGTGTGTGCATGTAGAGTGTATAAAATATATATATATATATTTCTATATATTTGTGGTGGCTTGCTCAGGGTGCAGGTGGGTGGTTGTTATTGGAGGTCCCAGGGAGTGAGGGGCAGGAAAGCCCCCGCCCCTTGGCCTCTGCCTTTGGAAGCCTGCTGTTTTAGGCCAATTCATCTCACCAACTCCAGTTCCTGACTACGATAATGAAGGTAACCCCAAAGCTCAGAAGGACTCCAGTGATCAGAGATTCATGTATGCCTACTCTGTTGCCTTTTATAAAAAGATGAAACCACAGCACTTTTAGAAAACTTTCTTAGCCAAGTTAAGTAACCAAAACAAGGTTAGAGAGTCAGTTCGGTAGGAGAGCTCATTTCCCCAAGGGCTCCTGCTGTTTGAGGTTAGACTGGCTGTGAGAGGGGCTCAGACTTGTTTGAAGAAGCCAGAATCTGGGACACAGTTGCTGCTTCCTATTGTATTATTACTGCTTTGAGATTAGTCTGTGCTCTTAACAGCGTGCTGGCTGGCTATGTGAGGAGACAGCCCAAAACATCTGGAAGTGTGGGAATAAAGCTGGCCTGGAATGATGTCAAAAATTCATGTTTTTTTCCAAGCCTGGCCTTGTATCACAAGGCTCGTGGAACGTTCAGACTCCTGAGCTCTACCCTGGACTGCTAACCCTAAACTTTTGGATGGGACTCAGTAATGTGGTTTGGTAGCTCCCTTAGGTGCTTCTGTTGGCAAGCTAGCAAGGTTTGGGAAGTCCTGGGCTAGGTAGTCAGTTTACTCCTGGAGTACAGAGACTCCTGAGTTCTACACTCATAGCATATCTCTAATCCATCAACATTTTTCTGTTCTCCCCTGCCAATATCCCAGTATAAGCCACTGTCATCTCTCACCCAAGCTAGCAACACTTCTAACTCCCCTCCCTTCCTCCATTCTCCCTACCTCCTGTGATCTGAATGTTTGTGTACCTCCCAGATTCATATGCTGTAATTCTCACCCACCACAGTGATGGCATTAGGGGGTGGAGTTTTGGGGAGGTACTTTAATCAGGAGGGTGGGACCCTCACTGAAAGGCATTAGTGCCTCATAAAAGAGGTTCTTGAGAGATCACTCACCCCTTCCACCACGTGAGGACACACTGAGAAGGTACCGACTGTGAGCCAGGAAGGGGGTCCTCACCAGAAGGCAACCACAGCACCCTGATCTTGGACTTCCCAGCCTCTACGACTGTGAGCAATACGTTTTCCATTGTTTATAAGCCACCTGGTCTGTGGCATTTGGTTACAGCAGCTCTCACAGGCTGGCAGTGTCTCTCTGCCCTTTCTTAAATCCATTATCCATTCTAGAGCCAAGGTGCTAAAAATCTTCTAAGGGTATCACACTGCACAGAAGATAAAACTTTTTACTGGCCTAAACAACCCTTTACTTTCATGTTGGCCTAGACGACCCTGCTAGATGCGGCCTTTGCTTACCTCTCCAGTCACTTCTCCCCTTGCTCACCACACTGGCTTGAGCCCCTCAAGCTCTTCCCAGCTCAGGGCCTCTGCACTTCCTCTCCTCTCTCAACATGGCTCGCTCTTTCTCATTCTTCAGGCTTTGGCTTGAATGCCCACATGTCAGAGAGGTCTTGCCTGATCATCCAGTCTACAGCATGTCACTCTCCAATAGGTTTTCTTTAGCACTTTCATGAACTATAATTACACGTTTATTGCTTATTGTCTGTCTGCCCACTAGGATGTAAGCTACATGAGGGCAAGGATTTTGGTGTTCTTGCACACTGATGTGTTTCTAGTGCTTGGCCCAGTTCCTGGTACATAGCCAGTGCTTAATATTTGTTGAATGACTCATCATGTTCTTTACAACCTAGCCTGAATTGCATTGCACAGTCTTTGGGGAGCATAATTTGATCTAAATCCATGCAATAACAGACCATGTTTTGAAAGGGTTGACGCACTTTCATTGTTGCCAAGTGCTGTAAATTATTGGCTTCTGGGAGGAGGGATCTCTGTCTTGCTGTTACAGGCCACTAAGTAGAGTTCCCAGCATGGCCTCTGCCTGGAAGTACTGTGATTAAGGCATTGCTGGTAACAGCCATCCACATGCTCTTGCACTCAATATCCTTTATTGCACACTTTGACATAAAATACCATATAATTTGACATATAATTTTTCTAAAGAACTCTGATAGTCTCATTCTTTTCTTCCAATTTAAAGAAAATAAAAGAGATGGCTAATTGATTTTTGCAGTAATTCTTTTAGGTTATTGTGGAAGAATTCTTAGGTTAAAAAGAGAATTTATTGGCATTACTGGGGGCAACTCATGTAATTCAACATTCCTTCAACAGATGTATATACAGGGGTGGGCAAAAGTAAGTTTACAGTTGTTCATATGGAAAAATATTTAATGTAAGAATAAATAATAATAGAAGAATAAACTCATACTCCCAACTGTAAACCTCCTTTTGCCCACTCCTGTAGATATAGACATAAATACAGATACAGATGTAGATCGATCTCTGTTTACCTGGTCTGTCATGTTCTACTTGCTGGGCTCTGTGTTTGATTTTAGATAGTCCATGGCGAGCAAAATCAGCAAGTTAGAAACCGCAACATAGGAATTCGGGAGTGGTAAGAATGAAGCTGGGGTTAGGCACAGCCCGAACTTTGTCTCCTCTGATGTCTGCGGATCAGCTTCACCTCCTCTCACTGAGTACCATGTGCTCCCTGGGGCAGCAGGTGAAGTCGCCAACTGTCTTCAGTTCACTTTTTACAGCTCCCACCACCACAAAGGCTAACGCACACACGTCCTTGAACCAAATTGAAAAATCCTGGGGAAGTCTCTGATGCTCAGCTTGAATGGATGACTCACTGGTGAAAAATATCCACCATAGCCAAGAGGTCAGGGTCTTTAAAAACATGCCAGCCTTTCTATTCCCACCTTATGTGGGTGGGAGGAGTAATTTCCAAAAAAAGGGGGTGAGAAGGGAGCTAGGTCTATTACCCGACAGTCTTCTGGCACTGTCATTTCCATAATTAAACGTCTCAGTCAAATGTGTAACAGAAAGCATGCTAGGATAGAAAACACTAAATAAAGGACTAAAGAGTGTTATCACACATAGAACTTTAAACATCTCGGAGGTATGAAGTTTTACGCCTAATTATGAAAAGCTGCAAGTCATAAAAAAGATGCAGTCATCTTGGAACATCAGAATTTTTATTATTTTTCAGGGTAATAGTAAACAGCCTTTTTTCACTAAAGGGATAGAAAATAGACTAGTGATCTCTGATAATGAGGTTCTCTACAGGTTTCTCTACATTTAAGTATAGCTCTTTACTAGTGGATACGCACATGCATTTTACAAGAGAGAAATCAGGTAAATATCTCACCAAAATGTTCTTTTAGTAGAAGTATATAGTGACCTACTTACTTTAAGAGTTCCCCAAACTTAGAGGGAAAGAGATTGCTTATGGCTTGCAAGTGTAAAAAGGAATAGAGGAAGATCAAGGTAAAGAGAATACTTTTATAGTGCTGGCACAGAGTAAGACATATAAATTTAACTGAGCTCATCTTCATACAGAGGTCTGATCAGATCGCTGGGGAGAAGGGAGCAGGGAGGGGCTGAAGGAGGAGGCAATGGTAAACAAGTCTCGGATGGGATTGGCTGAGAAAACTGAATGCCCCCAGAGCACATGGAATTATGGGCAAGAAGATCTGAAGTAAAAGAAGGGCTCTGGGGCGGCTGGCTCAGGTTCTCTGGCTTTCTTCCTGGAGGGTCCCTGGATGATCATGCCACAGGGGCCTGCATTTCCCGGTGGAAGGTATTTTGTATGGGAAGGAACTCTGGGCACAGTCTAGGATTGGGCTGGCCTGGCAGAGGTGCCAATTATTCTTCTCTGTATGTTCTAGAAGGAACCACCTCCAAGGCAGAAACCTGCCATTCTTCCAAAACTGTGAAGCTTTTGAATAAAGACTCCATTCCTTTATCACCAAACCTTGGCCTCTAGAATTTTGCCTAGAAGGTGGTGAAGGGTAGCGGGACCCCAATTGCTCAGTCCAGAACTGCTAGGCCCACACCCTTCAGGGTGGATTTCCATCTGCTTCCGTCTATCTACAGCCTCGACTAATGGATTTAGCTAATGAACATTTAAAAGCAGATTTTCTAATCACGGGGTATGGCATGTAGAGGAATGAGCTTCTAGAGAAATTCAACTGTTTAATAAACAGAAGTAGAGCTGACCAGCTTGGCATCCTTATGCAATAAGAGTGTATTACAATTAATTGTATATTCATTAGCAAAAGAGAAGAAAAAAAACCACACATGAAGGTGAGCCTTACATTTTTTTTCTAAGAAGAAGCATTTCTTGGTAGAAAGTAGAAATAGGGAGTTGTGTTATTCCTCTCTGCATAGTAGATAAACATACAGGCTTTGTAGCCACATTGGCCGCCTTCAAATCCTGACTCAGCCTTGGGCTACTTTATCTTCCCAGGCTTTCCTTCTTATGGGTGGGATGGGGCTCAGAATAGTGCCTCTCCCACAGGGATGACATGTAAGGGCTAAATAATGCATGCACTTAAACAAAGTGCTTACACCGTGTGTGGCACTCAGTGAGTCCTTACCAAGACATAGCTCTTTTGTTACTGCTGGTTATCAGAAGTCAGTCACTGAGCACTAACCTGTTCGACATCCTCAGAATCCTTGCTCAAGCCTTGGGACAGAATGACTTTCCTCTATTCTAAACTTACTAATAACACTATAGTTCTTTAAAAATGTAAATATTGTGGTGCAGTAACTTGGCATGAAGTACCATCTGTATTAGTTTTCTAAGAATTTCTTATGCATTAGTTCTGTTGGAAGACTGAGCCCTGTGTTTATGTAACAAACTATAAGTGTAAGTATTTCGAATCCAGAATGGTTAGACACTCAAGAAAAATGATTCAAGGCCTCCAACAACTGTTCATATAATAAGCTTGTCTTTCTTCCCTTTTCATTTTCATGGGATATATATTTAGGAGCAAAATTGCTTTGTACAGTTTATATATTAATCCACTTGTTGATTTTAGATATTAAAAGAATCTCCTTCCACTTTGTTAGCTACCTATTACCTTTGTCTGTGTGGTGCCTCTTACCAAACAGATTTTTAATTTGGGGGTAATCAGATCAAGGTTTTGATTCTGGTCAAGATGGAGTGAGCACACTTTACCCCACCTCTCCCCCTGAATGTAAAAATCCTGAATAGAATGCATATTACAGTTGATTGTGTAACTAAAAATATAAAAATAAAAAAATCAATGCTCTCCAGAGAATTTAAACAAGGCCTAGAGTCAACAACAGCTATAAATTTTCCTCTAAAATGTTTTAGCTAAGTCACGCGTATTTCAGCGTGTATTGTCATTCAGTTCTGAGTATCTCTGAAAGGTTTTTACTCTTTTCATTAGTCTGATTGTGATGTGGCTGGTATGAGATTCTTTGAGTTTCTCTTGCTTGGGATTCACTGAATTTCTAAAAATGGAAGTTTATGTCTTTTGCCAAATTTGGAGAGTTATTGGGCATTATTTCTTAAAATATTTTTTACGCACTACACTGTTTCTCCTCATTCTAGGACATTGAATACATGAATATTAGACATTTTCATATTGTCATGTAGTCTCCTGATAGTCTGTTCATTTTTTCTTCAATCTTTATTCTCTGTGTTGTTCAGACTGCATAATTTCTATTCATCTGTCCTCCAATTCAGTGGTTCTTTTCCATTGTCATCTCCACTGTGCTTACTGAGACCGTTTAGTGAATTTAAAAAGTTTTGGCTATAGTAATGTATTTTTCCCTCCTAACATCTCCACTCAGACACTGTTTATATCTCTTGTTTCTCTGCTGAGACTTTCTGTCTTTCAATTTGCTTCAAAGGGGCTCCCTCGTATTTATTCAAGCATGATTATAATGGTTACCTTAAGTCTTTGATAAGCCCAAGTCTTTGTTACCTTAGTATTGGTATCTATTAGTCGTCCTTTTTGTTTTTATTCTCACTGGAGGCCACTTTTTTCATTGCTTTTTTAGAGAGAGAGGAAGGGAGAGAGAGAAACATTGATGTGAGAGAGAAGCATCCATTGGTTGCCTCCCATACATGTCCAGACCAGAGATCACACACAATTGGACCAGGGGCTGCTCATGCTGGGACTGGGGACCAAACCTGCAGCCTAGGCACTTGCCCTGACTGGGAATTGAACCTGCAGTCTTTCAGTTATGGGATGCTGCTCCAACCAACTGAGCCCACTGCCAGGGCTTTATTGTCTTTTTCTTCATAAGATAGTGAGATTTTTCTCGCTCTTCAAATGTCAAGAAAGTTTAGAATGCACCTGGGACATTTGAGTATTATGTTATGTGACTCTATGTCACATGACCATGAGGAGTTTGGTACTGGTCTCTGTGAGCCTCTCAGTGATGCTTAGATATCTAAGAATTATTTTCTGGCTTTGAATTCTCCCATAGAGAGTTGATTATATATTACCATTTCTGCTTTAGTACTACCTTCATGGGGAATTTTTTATTAGGAGAGCTCGAATTCTAAATCTTGAGATCTAGGTCATTATGACTTCTTATGAATCATTGTTCTCTATTCTGCTTTTTTCTTATATTTTAACATATTAATCTAATTATCTATTTCAACCTGATAGGTTTTTAGCCCTCAATGAAACAAAATTCTCCATTTTCATATTTAGTGAACTTCTTTCTTATCCTTTTTAAGAATTTCTTAAATAATGACTTTTTTCTAATTCATCATTTTTCTTGATAGAGGCAATATGCTAGCATGTATATGCTTTTCATTCTTAGCTGAACTTGTACCTAACAGTTTTTTTCTGAAACTGTTCAATTCTGCATTTTTGGACTGTGACTCTTAACCTGATGTTTATAGCCTCAAGGAGTGTGTCCTTTGATGCAGAAAGGAAAGGGAGAAAAATGGTGCATACTTTTGATTTTGGAGTTTTCTTTCCCATTTCTCTCATGTTTTTCTCCTTTGTGGCTTTTTTTCTCCCTAGAGATGCATAATCAGCTCATTAGAAAAACACTTGACTTTTAGCAATTCAGTTCTATAAATGTGAAGTTGACACATGCAAATTCAAGGTTCTAGAGCTCTTGTTTAGTAAAGAACTACTCTTTAATCAGACTGGTAATGGAGGGTACTATTGAATTTCAAATGAAGGGCACAGTTTGGTTTTAGGACTTGGCTTGCTTAACTAGTGAGGCTATAAATGGCCATGGCGTTTTCTTTTATGCTACCACAAGGCAATTCTTTTTAGAAACTCTCAAAATGTCCAACACAATAGATTTTTCCCACAACTGAGTAAATAACAGTCCATTTAAGTGAGACTTTCTGTAACTACCTGAAATCATTTTGCTAATTTATCACATGAAACATGCTGTGCCTACTGTGAACATTGTAACATAGTTTCATAATATTATCTCACATAATCTATGCACTGGTTATTTAATTCTCTTCAATTTCCATTGAGAAATTTTAGAAAATATTATCTTCTATTTTCTAAGAATAGAAAAACGGTCACTTTAAAGAGCATTGTAGTATGTGTCATTCGTTTCAGACTAGACATATTCATTTAACTGAAAATCCTAGTGTGAACCTCTTACGTTCTTAGATACTTTTATAACACTGTTACATAATAGAATCCTATGAAGAAACAGGCTATTGTAAGATAACTATGGCTGTTAAAGGGGGGACTTTGACTGGCCTGTGTGTGTGCACCTGTGCACATGCAAAATCAGTGGGTGGGGGAGCTGATGATTGGCACTCAGCACAGTTCATAGCACTATACAGATAATGAGTGAATTTTACACCTGTTTAAAATTAATTTAGGAACTAATAAAAACTAAGTGGCTTTCCATTTTCATGGCAGTTACAATCTTGTAAGAGAGGCAAAGATACTTTTATACAAAATGATAAACCAGCAATTTCAGGCAATATAAGATAATAATAGCTGGCACTTACTGAGTGTTTCCAGTGTTACAAACACACTGCATGTACATTTTCTCATTTAATTCTCACAGAAACTGTATGAGGTTGGTGCTGTTATTGTTTCTATTTTAAAACTAGGAAATTGAGGCTTAGGTCACCCAAAGGCACATAACCACTGAGTGGAACAGCTGGGCCTGGAATTTATATCTAATCATGCTCTGCAACTTCTAGCAGAGCCTCAACAAACTGCTTCCTTGTGCTGCTGAGCAGAAATGGGTGGTGGTCAGCTGGAGAGAACAGGGACGGTAAAAGGCTGATGCTGAAAAAGTTCTGAGGCTCTGGGGATGCTATTAGCAGTATCAGAAGAGTATTAGCAACAGATGAATCAAAACACCATTAAAAATCGCTCTTTGTATCTCCATATGAATTGTTTTCTCTTTATAGGCTCCATTGGAAATGCACAAGGAAGGTCGGAAAATCAGGTTTCAGAACTAGAAGGAAAAGTCTGGGCCTCGTGCAGGACAGGCACAATACTTTAGGTATAAAGCATTTCTTTAAATGGCTTTGTGTAGAATTTTATTTCTGAAAACAGAAAAGTATACTGCAGAACTGTGCCATAAATTGCCTAGGTCAGTGAGCAAGCAAGTGAGATTAAATTACTCCCTTCTCTTAACAAGTTTCCCTCTTATGTGAAAACATTTACTTTCAGAGTCTTAAACTGCTCCAGTTGGGCCACTGGCTTCTTTGCGTTCCTTCCTGTTACATCCTGAGTATCATGGTTCATGCTAACTGCCGCCCGACAGGAAGCACCAACGGAGCAGCACGCTGTCCAGGGATCCAGCTCTCTGTCCTCCCTCAGGTCTGTCTGTTCCTGGCCATAGTGCCTTTCGACCCTTAGCCGCCCCCTCCAGGAGGAGCTGTCCGCCCACACCAGCCAAGGGCGAGGCTATCAGCGTTCCATCTTGCGCAGCACAAAAGAACCCCAGGGACTTCCAGATCACAAAGACTCTGTAAATGAAATCCCTTTCAAGTGCAATGGGAACGGAAGTGAGTGTTACTTAGGAAATTCCTTCCTGGCGTCCCCTTTACAAAGCAACCCAAACCTACAGAAAAAAGAATCAGAACTTCATTTGTACACTGTCATCAATATTTCTGCACTTAAAAAGCTCATGAAACAATTACATTATAGTAAGTTGTCCTCGTAAGTTAACCTTGACTTGAGTATTGTTTTTTAGGGTAGCCTTCCCTGTTCTACCTTCCCATTTTTGAAATTTAGCCTTGGAATTTAATAACACAGTGAAAGGTAAAATGCCCTGCACAATTAAGGAGGTGGTTCTATTCAGTTACTGCAACAGGGAAGATGCTCATTGGTGAGAAGTGTCTGCCCACAGAGAAGGAGGTGGTCCTGGGTTGTACAGAGCAGGGGGTCATCAGTGAGTCCCGTGAGAGTCACCAGGAAGGAGACTGGTCTTAACCCTGAGGTATCTGTGAGCAGGGGGGGCTTGTGCAGTTAGCTGGGGTGATTTCTCAACCATTTTTGCTTTCAGAGAGCACAAGAGCTCAGATAAAGTTCAACATTGTCAATATGTTTCCGTGTTTTTTAGCTGTGCTACTGAAAGTAGGTTGATGGGAGTCACTGCTATAGGATCCGATAATTGTACAGAAACCACCTAGTCATGTTCCTTCTAAATGAGGAAACTGAAGCACAACCATTGTAAGAGACTTACTCAGGTTTTGGGGGCATAGTCAGAACTCCTGTGCAGGAGTCTTGTTTATTACAGCAGGCTCAGTTTAAAAATAAGCAATTTATTCAAAAGGTAATATGATCCTTTTCAGTTATTTTTAGTGATACATAGTTTTTATTATCGATCTTTTAAACATAAGAATGTTAAGAAATATCAAAGCCTGTTTTCACTCTGAAGAAACTGGGAAGCAGGGTTTTTTTTTTATAAATGGCTAAAAATTGTGAGATTGTAAGACAATTCTATTTCTTCTCACAGTGCAGTTAGAATGTTTAAATTAAATGTTAAATATTTAAAATTTCTCTCTAAAATTTTAAACAGCTTTCTCCAAATTAAGAATGTAAATGAGTCATAGAAGGCAAACCCTTGTCTGTTAAAAGAAGGCTTCACATGTTCTAAGAGAAAAACCAAAACTTAATTGACTTTAAAAAATGTATCTAAATATTTCAAAATAACTGTTTGTACTTCCTTGAACTAACTCTAAGTTTTAAATACAGCTTTTCAATTCCACAGCAGAGGCATGGTTGGGGCAAGTCAGAAAGACCACTCATAGTCCTTCTGATAATAAAAACTATAACAATAACATGTACTGTTATTATTCATTAGGAAATGTCTGATGTGGTTTTTTTCTTTTGTTTTCTTTCTTTTCTTTTTTTAACTAAAATGATGGTTTTTAATGGAAACCAGAGACATGGTCACAATTACATAGTCCAGTGCAAAACACCTATGTATGACCAGGAGCTGGAAGGTCACAAAATAATGAGGGCAACACTGGATACAGAAGAAAAGCTGTTGCGGAACCTCAGGAGGCAGGCCGCCATGGCCTCTCCCTGCATTCCCGTCTGTGGTCACCCATCTTGCCAGGACCAAAGCCACCTCTGTCCTCACCACCCCAGGCCCCTCAGAAACCCCCACGGTCCCTGCCTCAGCCTTGGTAGCTACCCCAAACATAGCCCCCTCTGCCACCACGATGATCATCTCCTTAGTTACCCCCACATTTGAGAGCCTCCCAGTGCCCTTCCTGGGCCATCTGGTTGAGGGCCCTTACACTGGTTGCATTCATTCCTTCAAGAGAAGTTCATATTCCCACATGCAGGATTAGGACACATCCGGTCCCCAGCTTGCCTCAGTCCCCCCCGCCACCACCTCCACTGGGGAGTCCTCCCTAGATACCACCACCTCCACAGCCTCCACAGCCCATGGGCTCTCCTTGCCCTTAGCCTCCATGATCATTGCCACCGCTCCGATTGGAATCTGCTCGCCAACTAGCAAATACAGCTTTGATAGGATTGCCAGAGAATCCTTTATCACCAAACCAGTCAACAGCTGCTTTAGCAGAAGGTGAGTCATGAAAGGGTACCGCTGCCTCTCCCTTCAGCTTCCCTGTCTGTGTACAATGAATTATGGGCTCCCCTGTTTTTGTGTTTGTCTTAATGATACCAATCTGCTTGAAGCAACCAGCCTCAGGCTCAACTGCAATGTTCTCACCCAGGCCTTGCATGAAGATGGTGTTGTTTGAATTATACTGTTCAGAGTCATGTCAGGATCCTTGCTCCCAAGGGCCACTAGTTATATTGAAGCCACTACCATCCCTTCTACCCATGCCACCTCTGCCTCCATGGCCACCTCCACGATCTCTGGGTTCATAGCCACTGGTGCTGTGTGGTTGTAATCACCATCACAGCCCTGGCCTCATCCCCCATGTTCCTGCTGGCTACCCCTACAGCCACTGTCACCACCACCTCTGGGTCCTGATTGCTATAACCACCGCCACTGCTGCCACCACTCACTGGGACTGATCTTGGCCACAGTACCCTCCACCGCCCTGTCTGCTACCTCCACTGCTGCAGTTGTTCCTGCTCTGCTGTCCACAGCCCCGAGAAGGACTGCAGGAGCTTTGCTGCTGTCTACAGCTATGCTGCTGTCCGCCACAGCCAGACTGCTGACAAAGCCCCCATTCAGGCTGCCTGCGGTGGCTGCACTGAGAACTGTATCTTCCCGAGCTGCTGCTAGGAGCGGGCTGCTGGCCACAGACGGCCAGGGTAGGACTGCTACCCACAAGATGACTGAGAACTTGGGTCACTGCCAGAGCCAGCAGTTGAGCTCTATCCTCCGGAATGGAGTGAGTGCCATAGCTGTTCTGGGTCTGTCCATAAGAACAATGGTAGGTGCTCTGGCCACAGCCTGAGTGTCCCCTGACTGGCTGTAGCCTCCATAACTCTGCTGTCCACGGGGCTGATTGCTCTTCCAGGAATAACGCTGCCCAGGTTGGGTGGGGTAGGCCCCCAGCTTTGGGTTGCTTGTTGGGTATAGTCGTTTAAGGCCATGTTGGCGCACACACCTGACGCTTTCCGTATATTAACTCATTTGATCTGCACAGCAACCCAATGAGTAAGGCTGCTATTCTCCTTTTATAGATAAGAACATTAAGACACTGAGAAATTAAAGGTTTTATATGCAAGCTCACACAACCAGTCTAGAGCTGGGATTTGAACCCAGACAGTCTGATTCTTTTTCTTCCTTTGATTATCAAAATAAATGTGGGTGGAAGTTTATTACTTGGTACTATAATATAATATTAAAAATAGTGTTCCTATCTTTGAAAGATGGAAAATGAGTAAGCAGATATTTCATATATAAATGACAAGTTGGGTTAGCATTCATTTTTGTAAGAATAAAATATTAATTCAATATAAACATTGAAAAGTTCTAACTTTTTATGACATTGTTGAATTTTTTTCACCAGGCTGGCCTCCTTTGGCTAGTTTTAGTGATGTCTTCATAAGTTTTAGGAAATTGGGGGAAAAAATCAAACTGGTCAGATTTATCTTAGTTAACTGATCTCTTGTGCCTTGAGATCTGGAATGATCTTCCACACTGAGGCAGGGAAGTGCTCCTGGGAAAAGGAATTGGACATTTTCACTCTCCCTATATTTTCAGTTAAAATTAACCTAAATTATCCAATTAGAAACAAACACTCATGGATTTTAAGGGTTTCCAAAGAGCTGAGTCTCCTTCAGTAACCAGTTTTATTTGTAACTTTTGCCAAACTAATCACATCTAGGTTATTTGGCATTTCCAATTCTACAAAGATTAAATGTGTCAATTCTTTGTCCTGTTATACTATGAAGATTGCTCCTAAAAAGTTAAAGAACTAAAAGATCCCAAATTAAAATTCTAGATTCAAGGCAAGCATAAACATTTGGAGAAGGGGAAAAAGGCAGCTTTTTTTCCCTTCTAACTTAGAGCAACGACAAAGTAGTGAGAAAAAGCACGTATTCCCCCCCCCCCCCGCCCACTCACCCACCATCCTACCCTGTTAAGGAATATGGTAGGAGGTAAGCTTGTTTGGAACAGAAAATCAGCAACGTTTCAGAAATTTCTTCACAAATGATCTGTGTGTCTGTCAAGCCTCTACATAAATAACAGATTACTTAGAGAACTTGCTGAACACCACGTTACCTTCTATTTTGAGGACCCAGAATGAATGCGGGATGGGAACACTAAAGCTTTGAGGAAAAAATAACCTCATTAATGGGGGAGTAGTTAAATGACTGGATAACTACTGTTATGCTCTGGAATTCTGGGAAATCATGAAAAAGATTGAAGTAAATCTATCGACACAGATACAAAAACTGTCTATCATGTATTAAGTGGAAAAACATTCCAGCTTAATATATGTGATATGACTTAGCCAGTATTAAATACAGTAGAAAAGATATCATCTAATATTTAAATGTTATAAACATATGTGTTGTAATCAGTATGTATACCTGGAAGGATATAAACCAAACTGATAACAGCAAGGGACTCTGAATAGCAGGATAGAAGGAGCAGAGGGAGACTGGGAACTTTTACTTTATACATTTCTGTGCTGTTTGAGTTTGACAATTTTATTTTTTAATAGTTTTAAACATAAAGCTATTAAAATTATATAAGGAAAAAATTCCCTCTGGTATTATCAAACACTGGAATGAGTTATATAAACAAATCATGCACCATAGAAGGCATTAAAGAATAGATCTATGATAATAACTAATAGTAGGGGGAATTGAATTTCAGTACACAAAAATTCTAACTATTTCCACTTTTCCCTCTTTCAGAAAGCTACTCTTTCACAAGATCCCCTATATGTCAGATCTCCTATATGTCCTGTCCTCTCTAGCCCATTCTCCACTACAACTGAGGGTTCTTTCCGAAACACAGGATCTGATCACATAGCACAGGTCTGACCATGTGGCCCCCTTTACAGCCTTTGAATGGTTCCCCAGCCCTTAGGAGGAGGTTCTAAACTCTTTAACAGCTTACACAGATCTTCCTCACGTCTTTTCACTTTTTCTATCCTCAACTATTGTAAACTCCCCACTCCTGCCTTATACTTCCTATCCAAATAAACTCCCTGTTCTCAGAAAGCTCCCTGTTCATTTTTCCTCTGGGCCCTAACATGCTGGCCCTTATTCTAGAACCCTACTTTCTACTCCTCTTCCCCTTCATGAATTAACTTTAACTCAGCAAGTATTGGCTTACTATCCCTTTCTCTAAAAATAATTTCTCAAAACTAAGTTTAAGAGGGGCCTCTCCATAACATCCTGTGCTTATACGTCATGTAACACCAGTCTGTATTGGGATTGCTGATTTGAGTATGTGTCGTTCTGTTATGCAGTGTGCTTCTTAAGGGCAGGGGCTTGGTCACTAGCACATAGCGGCTGCCAATAAGCCTTTATAGAATGAATGAATGAATGATATAGAATAGAGGTAAAGGACAGATCATAAAGGGCTTTAGGGCTAAAGAGTTTGGATTTTATCCAGATTTTGTAGTTCTAGTAGGTTGTTGTCACAGTCAGCCTTATACTGAAGCAGTTACTTGTGATGAGACTATCTTTTCAGGTAATCATGAGCCCCTGGGAAGCAAACCATACCTCTTATTAATTTTTGTATTTTTCTTACGTAAAACAGTGGTCTGCACATAGCAAGCATTCAGTGAATTGATGGCATCAACCATTTTGATACTAAGTTTAAGTTATGGTCCAGTTTTAAAAGGTTGTATATTGGGAGTCATGTGAATGAGTTAAAAGTGAGGTCGTTTTAAAAGATGCACATTCATTTCCCACTAAAAAAACCAAAGCTCCTGACAGAAATGACTGACTCTGGATCTGGAGCAGAAAGCACACAACATGAGTCTGAAACAGTGTGTGCCAGAATGCAAAGTGTAATGGGCTCTCGAAGCACAGGAGCCTACACAAAGGCTCTTAATAGCCAAAGATGGAACACTCGAGTATCAGAAAAAAATAATGAATGAGATGGTTGAAACACAATAAGTAGATAAAAATTTAGAAGTATCTAATGATGGACCGTAGAGAAAAAGTCCTCCCTGCACTTCCACACAGAAAGAGATAAAAATGTATTGAACTCCATTACTCTACAAATTAGCAAACGAATGGGAAGAATTAAGCATTTATCCTGCCTTTCCTGCATGAGTTGTAATTAGTTCAGAGTAACCAAGCAGCACAACTTAATGAGGGAAAATTCCATTTTACAGAATTCTAGCTAATGAATATGGAAGGTTTAAGATAATGAGAAGGTTACCATTTTTGCAACTCCTAACCAAATGATGGATTCATGCATCAATCCTCAAGAGATGAAACCATCCGACAGAAAGATGAAGCAGAACTTCAAGTGAAGGGATTAGTTTGTAAATGACTAAACTCATCGATCATCACTAGTGTCGCCGAAGTGGGACAGCCAGATTTTTGTGCCTTTCGATTTGATGTAATATGAAACGCACAGCACCACTTACCAAGTATCTTTGTTAAAACAATTAAATCTGAACCTGACTTGAAACTGTGGGTATGTCAGCCTTAAAAAGGAATGAGATTCTGACACATGTGACAACATGGATGAATCTTGAAGAAATGATGCTAACTGAAAGAAGCCAGGCATACATAAAAAGGCAAATGTTGCAGATGCTACCTATACGAGGCAGCTAGAACAGGCAAAGCCATAGAAACACAAAGTAGAATTGAGGTTACCATGGGGGAGGCGGGAGGGGGAGTTACTGTTTAATGGGTAAAGAGTTTCTGTTCAGGAAGAGGAAAAAGTTCTGGAATTTGATAGTGATGGTTGCACAACATTATGAATGGACCTAATGCCAGGAATTGTACACCTAAAAATGATTAAAATGGTATATTTTGTATTAGGTATATATTATGTCCATTTTTAAAAAGATAGGCATGTGTGTAAGGAAATTGATAAAACATGACCAGCCAAATGTTGAAAATTATTGAAGCTAGGTGATGGGTATGTAGGGTTTCTTTTTACAATTTTCTTAATTTTTATGTATGTTTGAAAATTTCTATAATAAAATTTTTAAAAGACTTAGGAAACATAACAAGCAAATATAGTAAGTATCTTATTTATTATCTTAATTTTAACAAACTGAATATAAAGATATTTTTAAGGCAATAGAAGACATTTGAATGTGGACTGGGTATTAGACAGTACCAAAGAATTACTGATAATTGTGTTGGGTGTGATAATCATGTCTTTGTAAGAAAATGTTTGTTTTATTTTGATACGTAGGGGTTAAATAACAATGTTTGTGATTTCTTGCTTTAAAAGTATGGTAACTGAGATAGCTTAGAATTTCTGTGTGTTTCCATATATCATTCTAAAAGAGTTTTAATTTTGGTGTTTAAAGTGATTTTTAAGCTAATTATATAATAAAATAGGCTCTAACTTTGTATACATGTGGCTTGAAATTTACACCTGAAGGCAAGAGGGAGAGTCCAGCCAATGTCTTTCTACAGAAAAAGCGTACTTCTTGCAGAGTTCATTCCTGAAGGCAGCGCAGTGAAAATGCAGAAACTTAACATGAACTCTCAGGGACACAGTGTATGCACAGGACACACAAGGAATGGTCTTCACCTGCAAGGCACCTTCCGTTTAAAAGAAGTAAATATTCTTTGGGTTTTCAAATGGGAACTCTGTCACAAAGGTGCATTCTGTAACCCAACCATGTGCACACGCACACAGTGCATCCGAGAGAACGTAGGAAAGCCTTTTCCAGTTACAAAGCATGATACGACTTTAAGATATTATTTTATAAAATGTCAGGGTAAAAAATGAAAAAGTATAGGCAAAACAGAGCTTATCATTAGATCAAAAATCCTTTTTTTTTTTGCCACATTATCTGGATGGTGTTTTCTAGCTGATGAAAATGTAGAATATCTGTTAACATGAATATGATTTTTCCTTATTCCTCAATTGAAATTAATGGAGTCTTCTGGCACTGACTACTTAAATCAGTCAAGGAAAGTTTGTCATCTACATAAAGCAAAAATAATCTAAATGTTCAAAGAAACTGTGACTATATTTAACTTCTCTGTAGAAATGTAGACTCCTGAATCGACTTTGAACTAATAATGTATATGAGACCTCAACTTATATATGAATTGATTTTTAGCATGAAGTATTACTGTGTGTTTTCTTATTAAATTTGTTTTGGCCTTGTAAAGAAAAAATAGTTTAGTATTATGCTTATTATCACAGGTGCCAAAGGATAAAAAATTTATTTCTAACCATCTTAGCAAATTGCTGACTCTTCTTATTGGGAAAGACTAGAAAACAAATTTCAATATAATTCTGCTGATATTGTAATTTTTTTTGAGTTTTTGCTTTTCTAAGTTATTTTGTTTGTGAAAACTACATTTCTGCTGTTTTTGAAGTTAACAAGGAATAGAGGAACTTTATAGCTATTTTTAAAATGCAATGTGGTGGTAATTAGAAGTGGATATATAGGAAAGTGGGATATCAAAGTTTGTTCCTACTTTATTTAGACACTATTTATTAAGCACTGTGTTACGCACATATGGTAATTAAAGTATCAAGACAGTGCAATGGGACAGGCGCTATCATCATCCCCATGTTATAGGTTAGGAAAGTGAGGCAGAGACCAGGTAACTTACATGTGGTTATTACCAGACGGAGTAGGGGCAGATCCAGGGTTCTGATTAGCCTATCTGATCCACACCCCTATGCTTATAATCATGTTCTTCTGCCTGTATAATTGCTACCACTGAATTTTTAATGATTATTTCTCTTCCCATGTCTTTACTAGAAAACAGACTGTTTTAGGAAGTCTGAATATTTTTCTTTTCCTTTTTGTCTTTTTAAAAAAGATTTTATTTATTTATTTTTAGGCAGAAGGGAAGGGAGGGAGAAGAGAGGGAGAGAAACATCAGTGTGTGGTTGCTTCTCATGGGTTCTCTACTGGGGACCTGGCCCACAACCGAGGCATGTGCCCTGACTGGGAATGGAACCAGGGACCCTTTGGTTTGCAGGCTGGCACTTAATTTACTGATTGAGTAAACCAGTACTCAATCCAGGGCTGATTTTTTTTTCTTAATAAGATAGTCTTATTGATTGGATAAGGTAGAACATCTTAGTTTTTTCTTTCTTTTTTTTTTTAATGGAGGGGGGCAGTGGGCAAGAACCAAGACTCCATATATACAGCTGGTTTCAAGATTTGTGAAGTAAGTGGTAAAAATATTTTTAATTCCATTCAGAAATTCTAGGAAGTTTCCATTAACCTGCACAGAGCATGAAACATCTCTTCTACCATTACTTTGCACTCCGCTTTTCTGAATTACTAGTTGTGTGAACTTGGACAGATTACTTAGCCTTTCTGACATTTTATATGTGCAATAGTACAATAACTCCCAGCTCAGCCCCTTACTGGTGAATGAGCCAGTGCATGAAAAGTACCCCATTTGGGAAAACATGATGGACTTAGAGGGTAGTACACTAAGTGAAATAAGACAGGCAGAGAAAGACGGATACTATATGACATCACTTATATATAAAATCTAAAGAACAAAATAAATGAACAAACAGGACAGAAATAGGCTCACAGAACAACTGATGGTTGCCAGATGGGAGGGGGTAGAGGTGCTGTGTGGAAACAGTGAAGGGATTAAGCAGTACAAAGTGGTAGCCACAAAATAGTCACAGAGATATAAAGTACAGCATAGGGAAAATCGTCAATAATATTGTATAACTATGTATGGTGCCAGGCACTAGACTTATCAGAAAGATCACTTCGTAAATTATATAAATGTCTAATCACTATGTTGTATATCTGAAAATAATATAAAATAATACTGAATGTCAGCTGTAATTGAAAAATAAAATAAAATATTTAAACAGGAAAAAGAACCATATTAAAATTCCATTAGTAACAGTTTTACATACCTGTTAATAATTGTTGATACTCCTCAACTGCTATCGCTTATGATTTTTACATGTTTTCTTCTGCTTCTGTAGATCTGAGGAGAAAATTAAGCATTTCAGTCAACTTAAATCTGAACTTTTTCTTAAAGACAATACTTTGAGGAAGATACTTTATTTATTTTATTTTTTTAAATTTTATTTAGTTATTTTTTAAGTACAGTTTTTTTTGTCTGTTTCTCCCATCCCAGCCCCCCCTGCCCCATCTCCCCCCCTCCGTCCCATCCCCCCCCCAGTTCTCATCCCTGTGTCTTTCATACCTGTTCCCCAAATCCCTCCCCATTTTTCCCCTTAAATTCCCTTCCCTCTCCCCTCTGGTCGCTGCCCACTTGTTCTCTATTTCAGTGTCTTTGTTTTTATTCTGTTTGCTTGTTTGTTTTGTTGTTTAGCTTCCTGTTAAAGGTGAGATCATATGGTATTTGTCTTTCAATGCCTGGCCTATTTCACCCAGCATAATGCTTTCCATGTTGTTGCAAAGGGTAGGAGCTCCTTCTTTCTCTCTGCTGCATAGAATTCCATTGTGTATATGTACCACAGTTTTTTGATCCATTCATTTATTGACAGGCACCTAGGTTGCTTCCAACTCTTGGCTATTGTAAATTGTGCTGCTATGAACATTGTGGTGCATAGGTTCTTTGAAATTGATGTTTTAGGATTCTTAGGATATAATCCTAGCAGTGGAATTGCTGGGTCAAAAGGCAGTTACATTTTTAGTTTTCTGAGAAAATTCCATACTGTTTTCCATAATGGTTGTACCAGTCTGCAATCCCACCAACAGTGAACTAAGGACCCCTTTTCCCCACAACCTCTCCAACATTTGTTGTTGGTTGCTTTGTTTATGATGGCCATCCTGACTGGTGTAAAGTGGTATCTCATTGTGGTTTTAATTTGCATCTCTCTGATAGCTAACGATATTGAGCATCTCTTCATGTGTCTCTGGATATTCTGTATGTCCTCTTTAGAGAAGTGTCTGTTCAAGTCCTTTTCCCACTTTTTAATTGGGTTAGATGTCTCCCTAGAGTGGAGTCGTGTAAGTTCTATGTATATTTTGGAGATTAAACCTTTGTCTGAGGTATCATTGGCAAATATGTTTTCCCATACAGTTGGTTGTCTTGGAAGATACTTTATTTAATTATGGAACTTAAAGTAGCATCCCAGAAAAACTTTATTTTGAAAAGGATTTTGTGGAAAGTATGTGGAAAGTATTTTTAACCTTTTAAAACTTGTTTCACCTGTTATTGAAGGCAGCACATTCAAGGATAAAGTAAAATGCTATATAAATAAATATCATCTTTGTGTTTTGATGCTGTATTTTACAATGTTGATTAAATTTAATGCAATTGTGTCAACGCATGAGATGTTGTGATGTGATCAGTATGTGTATGTGTGTGTATATGTGTTGGGATGGGGGCAGGAGGTAGAGAAGAGAGGAGAGTGGTAGCAAAGATAGTAGCTCACATGGTTTGGGTTCACAGAGTCAAAGAAGAGAGGTACCCTGGCTGGTATGGCTCAGTGGATTGAGTGCTTGCCTGTGAACCAAACGGTCACAGCTTTGATTCCCAGTTAGGGTACAGGCCTGGGCAGCAAGCCAGGTCCCCAGTAGGGGGTGCATAAGGGGCAACTACACATTTGATGTTTTTCTCTTTCCCCCTCCCTTCACCTCTCTAAAAAATAATAATACATTTTTTTAAAAGAAAAGGGTTAAATAAGAGGGGGATCTTCTGGCATGCAAGACATGAGTATAGACAGTTGGATGACAAAGTGGATTTGAAAAAGTTTTACCTGTAGGCCCCCATACAATAAAAATGTATTGTACCTAGAAAGAATGACTTTTTAGTACAGGACTGCTATTTTTTAAAAAGGTGAGCCCTGGAGAGTCAGCACAACCTCGTTCTCACTCAGTGAGTTACAGGCTTACCCTGTAAGACTTCCCTAGTTTCATTTGTGGTTTCAGGTGAAAGGTATTGAGAAGCCCAGGTGGTGCTGGTGCTGGTGAGGCTAATTCTGGCCAGTGGTCTCATACATGGTTGTCATGATTTTATTGAGTACTTGTGCAGTGCACGGCCTCCCCAGCCATACAGGACAGTCCTGGCCATTTCTTAGATTCTAAGTGTTTCACATGTAGGATGACCAACTGTCCTAGCTGACCGTCCCACTCAGGGTTTACCTATCTATCACCCAGAAGGTTACCTTGGGCCCTCTGGTCCGTTCCTCCACCCCAGTCCTCAGGCAACTGCTGTGCTCTCCATCGCTGTAGGAGCCTTGCCTGTCCTAGGATTCCACTTACATGAACTTGCACACTCTGGACTCTTTTGTGTCTGGCATCTTTTGGCATAATACTTTTGAGATTCTTTCATGTTGTTGCAGGCAGGTGGGAGATATTTTATGAGACAAAATTCTAATACCAGTGAGCATAACAACTGATCTTCATTAAGACTTGTAATGTGCTAAGTACTATTCAGGCTTTATAAATGCTATGATTTTTAATCCTAAAATCAATTCCACGAAGGGATATTATTAAGCCCATAGTAGAGATGAAGAAGCTGAGTCACGGAGTACATAAGTAGTTTGCCAAATGTCATACAGCTAATCAGTAGCAGAGCTGGGACTTGAACTCAGGAAGCTAGCTCCAGAGTCAGTGTGTAAAACCACCACACTATGCTAATTTATGAGGTCTCTGGGTAAGCTCAAGCAGTTCTTATGGGCCCGGTGTACATCTTGCTCCTCCCCTGCTTTTCCCTCTCTTCACCTGCCATCCTCAGCCTCTTCTCATGCCCTGGGGCACACATATCCCTGTCTAAACAAAGAATCTAAGTTGTCACTATTTTAAAAAGTTCTAGGGGAAAAATGAATAATAGTGGAATAGAAAAGAGAAGCAATTACATTATATTTCTCATTAGTACCGGCTTGTCTGATTTCATGGCCTAGTGCTCATTTTCATGCTTGATTTACCTTATGAGACTCGACAGGAATACAAAACCTTGGTTCCCCACTCTTAAGTCAGTGTTTATTTTGAAGAAAGGGCAATGTGCATTGCCACTGTATTACAGAAGTGTTACTATCATTCTGCACCACCTTCAGAGGCTACACTGGTGCTGTCCATTTACTTTTGTAATAGTAAAGATTTTTAAATGAGAGTTTATCTGGTCTTGATTTCATTATATATCCACAAAGTCCAAACTACTTTGGAAAGGCAGGAATTGTAGTAGCCCTGTTTAATGTATTCTTCCAAGGCAACTGAATGACTTGCCTAAGATTATACACCTGCTGATGGATAATCTTCATTCAGTATTAATGACTGAGGCGTGCCTAGAAGGCATCTCCCAATCTCACTCTCTAGATCTTGGCTCTTGCCCTGTTCACCAGGACTGTGGTCTCCTGATTGTAAGTAAAAGTATGTTTTCAATTTGGGTTATGCTAGTATTTTTTTAAAGACTTTTATTTATTTATCTTTAGAGGGGAAGGGAAGGAGAGAGGGAGAGAAACATCAATGTATGGTTGCCTCCCGTGAGTCCCCCTGCTGGGAACTGGCCTGCAACCCAGGCATGTGCCCTGACTGGGAATCAAAGCACCACCATGTGGTTCGCAGGCCCATGCTCAATCCACTGAGCTACGCCAGCCAGGGCATGGGTTATGCTAGTATTAATGAGAGATATTTAAATCATTTCCTTGTCAAAGAAGAAATTATTTCTTTTTATTTTACTATGTAAGCATAGAGAGTTTTGCCAACAGACCCTTAAGTTCGTCTTCTTCCCTGCTTGCTTTCACAGACCAGTGACCTTTTCTATTTCCTAGTGAACAAACTTAATGAGTACCTGCCAGAGTCTACAGATAGGAATGCACTTCAAAATAAAAGCCAAAGAGCTGATGAGCTGGTGTAAGTACTAACTGGATAACCATAGATATTTTTTTCCCTGTGGTGTTAAAGATAAATAGAAGGCACTAGACAAAATATATACTGCTTTAATGATTAATGGTGCTTCAAGTTTCCTTCACATAGATTTTTAAAAATAGTATTCATTTTGTTCTAATTTTGAAAGAAAGACTGCACAAGAAACTAGAAATATTGTCTGTCCTAACGGGGAAAAATGGGGTGTCTGGAGGAAAGACCATTTTTATTGTTTTTTCTTTATTGCCTTTGGAATTTTGAGCCAAATATTACCTACTTGAAAAAGTGAAAATTACTTTTAAAAAGTAGTGCATGATTATTGTAAAAACTTTGGGAAAAATATAAGTACAAAAAACAATATGAAAATGACTTTTAATCCTGACATCCATTCAACAAATATTTCTGAGTGCTTACTGCATAATGCTCACAAGCTAGGCACTCCACCAATGCTGGCAATTTGATATACAGAATTTCCTTCCTGTACTTTTCTCTACATAGATATCTGAGTGAAATTCTATTAAGAATTACTGACTTTGGAGAATTCTGAACTGGTACTGAAGTCATGCATTTTCATGCTTTCTGTTTGTTTGTTTTCTAGGGTATGCATTGAAATCATACAGGCCCTGAGACTGATGTTCAGAGAAACCGAAACTGAGTCATCACATCTGAACACACTGGACTCTAAGTAAGGTCTATTAGAAAATAGAAAATATTGGGACCTTGTAGTTGCAGCCTATTAACTACTCTGTTGAGTGTCTTCCAAAACTCATAGTTTTTGAAAATCTCTGTTTCTATCTCCTTGTAAGTATATTAAATTCTTTTGTCTCTCCACCTCCCTCTGTGATAAACAGATTAACTGGCACATAGTGAGTTCTATCTCTCTGGATATTGAGGACACAAAGATTTTCTTAGCATAATTTTATCTTTTGTTATTGTCTGATGAACTTTTTCAAGTTCACTGACCCATGACACATTAAACACCAGAGGGGTTCTCTACTAGAATTTTCTAAAGTACTGTATATCCACTGTAGGGTGAGTAGAGGCAGTTGGCTTGCTCACCCAGGTGTCTGGGTAACTAAGGGGAGCAGTGTTCCCCTAGCCTTGCAGGGGCCTGATAACTAGTGTCCTCATAGCCTTGAGACTGGGTCCAATAAACTGTCCCTATAACATAAAGTGGGCTCGCATGCACAGAACTATGTTATGTTTTGTAATGTTCTAGCAGTTTTCTGGCTTTGTTCCCCTCTAGTACTTAAACAGGTAGGGACTCCCTGCTGGGGGCAATGGTAATGAGAGACACACAAGGGGACAGGTGCCACAATGGGTGCCACACTGGGGAGCAGGGGCCACGACATGAGACATGCAGATAGATGTACAGCTTGCAGCGTACAGGGCTCACCCACCCATGAATAAAGGCATGCCAGACAGCCCAACAGCTCTGTGAATGCTTTTCCATCTGCACAAATACCAAGAACCTGCCTGGCTTTGAAGGGTGGCAGCACATCCACCAATAGAAAAATTACATTGCAAAGGCACAAATTATAATAGCTGCATTTAATACATAATAATGTGACCTTGAGTGAATGATGCAGGAGGGTTTATTAACATATAGCATAAGCTGCTGTAATAAAGACTCTAAAATATGTGGCCCAAAGAAGATAGAAATTTAAATCTATCACATAACAGTTGAGAGTAGATAGTCAACCTTTCCTCCACAGGATTAGCCAGAGACCTACATTCTTTCTCTTTTGTTGCTCTGCCATTTTCCCTCAGGCTATCTTTGACCTTATGATTAAAACTGGCTTACCTACTGACTTCATTACATCCTATGGGAAGCAGTGAGAGGTGTGGAGGGAAAACAAATTTCTTTTTAAAAAAAGCAGGGCATAACAGAATTTTGCTTATGTTCTAATGGTGAGAGCTTCAGGCATGTGGCCATAGCTAGCTGCAAGAGAAGCTGGAAAATATGTCTGTAGTTGCATGGTTATGTGCCTAAATAAACTTTGGATGGTGATGGGGACATCTGTAAATAAAAAAAAGAGCGCAGGAGTATATAATAAGGGGATAATAACATTGTTTGTCACAGAAGGTATGTGTTTGCATGTTTTGCATATTATCTGCTTGTCCCTTTATAGTAAGCATTTTTGGCTTTTCAGGCCCTATAGTCTGTTACAATTACTCATTTCTGTCACTGTAGCACAAAAGCAGCAATAGACAATACATAAATGAATGCGCACAGTTGTGTTCCAATAAAACTTTATTTACAAAAACATGCTCTGGGATATTGGCTTGCAGGTCAATTTGTTGACCCCTGCTTTAATATAGGAAGATTCTTGCTTGCTATTTTCTCTACATATGTCTAAGATAAAAATTCAAGATTATTTCTAATATTTCTATCTTCTTCCACAGTGAAATTACTGCTAATTCATGTTCCTCTTTTGGTCCCTATCTTTCTGTATCCAAGTTGAAAAAAGAAAATCACTTACTAACCTCTACTATATAATGCTGTATTTTAACTGTTCTGTCTTAACTTGGTTTGACCACATCAGCCCTACTATTTCAAGTTTCTTTCCTGATATGACTAATTCATCCTTCAATACATATATTATATTGCTGTATAGAGTGTGGTTGTAATACTAACTTTTCAGTCAATTTTCATATGCAGAGGGTCATGTTATCCACAGCATTACTAGCACGGTAAATATCTAATATAAGCATATTAGTCTTCTATTGCTCTGTAACAAATTACCACAAACACAGTAGCTTAAAACAACGTAAATTTTTTATCCCATGGTTTCTGTGGATCAGGAAGTCTGGGCATTGTTTGGTTAGATCCTCAGCTTAGAGTCTCACAAGGCTGAAATCAAAGTGTCAGCTGGGGTTGCAATCTCATCTGAGGCTTGGGATCCTCTTCCAACTCATTTGGGTGATTGTTGGCAGAATAAATTTCCTTACAGCTCTAAACTCACGCTGGCTTGCTGCTTGGCAGGAGACTATCTCTGAGCTCAGGGAGGGCCTAGGCTCTCTTTTAAAGAGCTCACTTGATTAGATCAGGCCCATTCAAGACAATATTCCTTTAATTAAGCCAAGTCAACTAATTAGGAACCTTAACAAAATATGCAAAATCTCTTTATCTATCATAACATAATCATATGAGTGATACTCTAACATATTTACAAATCCTACCCAAATTTAAAGGGAAGGGTTTGGGTTCGAGCATATAAATGGGCACAAATCTTGGAAACCCAACAGAATTCTGCTTGTTACGATATCATATACTGACTCCTGAGGCTATGAGTTTGCCTTTCAAAGACTCTATTTTAACATATAATACATTCAAAATTCTTACAGTGGAAATAATAACAATTTAAGCAATGAAAGAATCAAACTGTTGGCACCATGATTTAAGGCTATGATGTCAATCCTGTAAGTCTTTATTTTCAGGCTGAAACTACCATTTAGATTACACTTTCTTTTACCAATTATTGGCCTTGTGGATTTTAAACTGAGCTGGAAGAAGGGGTAGATTACAAATTAAATTCCAGTTGAGCAAATAAAAAAGCATTTAATCATTTCAGTATTTTCCTCTATTTTTTCTTAAGTGCAGATTTTATTAGTTCAACCCACTTCCTTGTATTCTTCTTGAAATATACTATAATCCTTTCATGTTTCAATATTGTTATGATTGAATTCACATATTATCACAGCAAGTGAACCAGTTTTTGAGCATTCCTTCCCTTAGCCTTAGCTGTATGATACTTTGAAAAGAAGGTGTTGCTGAAAATAAAGGACTAAAATTAAATATAACAGTGAATGGAATGTGAGTTCAAACTTAATATCAGGAAAAGCTACTAAATGTAGTGTTTTGTTAATTTTGGAAAGGTCTTCTAAGAGTAAAATTGGCCATTTTAAAACAGCTGAATAAAACATTAGCGAATATTCTGTAGGACATAGCCTGCTTTTCTTTTTTAAGAAATGTGCTGACACGATTCTTCTTTTTGCAGATGTGAGAAAACTAGATTTGTTTTTTGAGTTGGAGAATTGCACTTAATTAGGATTTTTGTTAATCATGAACTTCTAATCATGGTAATGACTTAAAGGATTGTAAAAAGATGAAGAAGCCTTAAATATTAATAAACAAGGACTGTTCATAGTCTCCTTTACTCCATCTTGAAAGGAATGCTTATGGTTAAGAGGATTTTTATACACTCCTCTCTGCAATTCTTTTTCTACTCCTACTTGTCAAAGCAGCTCTGATCTTGTCTTCAGTTAGGCAGCTGTACCTCTAGTGGTCTGCTCTCAGCTCCTTTCATGCATCCATGGGTTGCTCTGCACATATGAAGATGATATGACTAACCCAGCTCCTCAGAATGTTCAGTTTGAATGATGATTGTTTTTTTTAATTTTTCAAATAATATGGTATATTATTCAAACACATAGGTCCATTTAAGGGATTTATGACTGTACATTAGCGAATACACACTGCATTTGAAAGCAAAAGACCTGAAATTTAATATCGGTTTTACTGACAGCTAGTGGCCTTCAGTGGAACAATAAACCTCTGAAATGCTTGTCTAAAAAAAGTGTTGTAGAGTCAAAACACCTGTAGTCAAATAAGTATTTTAAGAAACGCTTCAGCCCTGGCTGGTGGGGCTTAGTTGGTTGGAATGTCATCCTGTGAACCAAAGCATCGTGAGTTCGATTCCTGGTTGGGGCACATGCCTGGATTGTAAGTTCTGTCCTGGTCAGAGCATATAGGAGGGGCAAGCTATCAATGTTTCCCTGTAACATGGATATTTCTCTCCCTCTCTCACCCACTCTGTTCCTTTCTCTCTAAAACTAATGAGCATGTCCTTAAGTAAGGATTAAAAAAAAGAAAAAGAAATGCTTTGTACTGTTTCTTTGTCCTGGAGATACACAGTGCGTGCACATTAGCATATTAAAGCCTCTGAGAAGTCATGTAGTAAAAGTATCCAGCAAACTTGGTTAAATTAAGTTTTCTCATCCCTCTTATTTTTAAGCATTTGAAAAAAGTCCTCATCTGAGGACATGTTTTCTTGATTTTAGAGAGAGAGCAAGGAAAAGAAGGAAGGGGGAGACAGAGAGATAGAAACATTGATGTGAGAAACATCCATCAGCTGCCTCCAGTAGGAACCCTGACCTGGGGTTGAACTAGCAACCTAGGTATGTGACCTGACTGGGAAATGAACCTGCAACATTTTGATGCACGAGACTATGCTCCAACCACCTGGCCAGGGCTTATTCCTTTTTTGAATACAATATATTTTGACTATAAAGTTGCCTGAAATTTAATCCATAAAAATCCCTGTGGAAAATACTAATTGGAATCACCCAAATTTTCCTTAAATCCAGATTTTCTAAGTTTCCCAAGTTATGTGAACTTTTAGAACTGAACTTGCTCTGAGCCAAAAGATCAAGAAATTATATTTTCATTTAAATGGCTCATCTCTGGACATTTGTCTGCATATCCAAGGATCCAAAAGTTCAGTCAAGAATGGTCTTCAAGTACAGACTTCTGGTCAAGATGGACGCATAGGTAAATGTGCTTTGCCTCTGCATACAACTACAGTAAAAATTATGACTAGACTATAGAACAAATATCACCCAGATTCATTGGAAAATTGAGCTGTATGAAAGACCAACAACCAGGAATTTAAAGAAGTCACAGTCATCCAGATGGGTAGGAGGAGAGGAGATGAGGAGAACATGAAGACGTGGAGTGGCTCTGAGAGGTGGAAGAACAGGCAGTCCCACACTGGCATGTGGTGGATAAAAATCGAGAGGGAGGAACTTCTGGCCAAGATGGAGGTGTAGGTAGATATACTGTGCCTCCTCACACAATCAAAATTAAGAACAACAAAAATTTAGAAACAAAAAACAAACAGAACTAACAGAAAATTGAACTGTACAGAAGTCTGACAACCATTTATACAGACTGGTAAGAGGGGCAGAGTCGGTGGCCAGTGGAGAGGGGTCCCAGCAGGAAAACGCAGTGGCTGGGGGACCTGGACATGCAGTCAGCAGTTTGCTAACCCCAAGCACGAGGTGGCAAAGGACAGACCCAGTGAGGTGCAAAAGGCAGCTGCCTGACCTCAGTTACACATTCATGCACAGATAAACCAGGAGAAAACAGTCAGCGAGAAAAACCGCATAACCCAGGGCCCCAGCAATAGAAAATAAAGCCTCAAAGCACTGATTGAAAACACTTGTGGGGGACTTCCGCCAAGATGGAGGCATAGGTGGAGACGCCTCGCTTTCTCACACAACCAAGTTTAGAGACAACTAAATATTAGCAACAGAAAACATAGCCGGAACACAGAAAATTGAACTTTTCGGAAGTCTGTTAATAAATTCTTCAGCCTGACCTGTATGGGGCGAAACCAGCAGTTGGCGGAGCGGGGTAGCACAGGAAAACTCGGTCAGATGGACTCAGCCGCGCGGAACCCAGGCGCAGGGTTGGACCTGGTGAGAGACCCAGTGACTGCGGGGGAAACAGCGAGGGAGCAGGGCTGCGGGTTGACTGTGGTCCCACATTCGTGCGAGGATAGACAAGCGAGGGAGTGGGCGATTGGACCGGGACCCAGCGGGTCTTGGCTAGAGCAGCAGTAGAGGGCGCCGCCATTTCCCTGCTCTGACCCCACCTCCACATGCAGCGTCATAACCCAGCGACTCTGAGTGGCCTGGCCCTGGTGAACCACCCAAGCCTCTGCTCCTCACCCAGCTGCGAAACAGCAGAGGGGGCCGCCATTTCCCCCTCTGACCACGCCCCCACAAACAGTGTCACAACTCAGCGACCTGGGAGTCCAAGGCTCCGCTCCTCAGACCTAACGAGCACGAACAGACCAAAAATCACTCAAGAAGATCTCAAAGCCCCAGAGCCTATAAATCTAAGCAATGAAGAAATAGCAAAACTCTCAGACGCACAGTTTAAAACACTGGTGATCAGGATCCTCACAGAACTGGTTGATTATAGCCACAAATTAGACAAACATATGAAGGCGAAACTAATTGAAATGAATGGAATTGCACAGGAAACCAATAGCGATGAAAAGGAAACTGGGACTCAAATCAATGGAGTGGACCAGAAGAAAGCAAATAATGGCCAAACAGAAAAGAGTGAAGAAGCAAGAATTCAAAAAAATGAGGAGAATCTTAGGAACCTCCAGGATATCTTTAAACGCTCCACCATCTGAATTATAGGGGTACCAGAAGGGGGAAAGGCACAGCCACCAGTGGAAAACTTATTTGAACAAATAATAAAGGAGAATTTCCCCAATCTGGCAAAGGCAATAGACTTCCAGGAAATCCGGGAAGCTCAGAGAGTCCCAAAGAAGTTGGACCCAAGAAGAAACACACCAAGGCACATCAGAATTACATTAGCCAAGATTAAAATGAAGGAGAGAATCCTAGAAGCAGCAAGAGATAAGGGGACAGTCACCTACAAAGGAGAGCCCATCAGACTGTCAGCGGATTTCTCAAAAGAGACCTTGCAGGCAAGAAGGGGCTGGAAAGAGGTATTCCAAGTCATGAAATCCAAAGACCTACATCCAAGATTGCTCTATCCAGCAAAGCTTTTATTTAGAATGGAAGGGCAGATAAAGTGCTTCTCGGATAAGATCAAACTCAAGGAGTTCATCATCACCAAACCCTTATCATATGGAATGTTAAAGGGACTTATCTAAGAAAAAGAAGATAAAAAAGGTGAACAGTAAAAAGACAGCAAACTCACAGATATTAACAACGACACCTAAAACAAAAGCAAACTAAGCAAACAACTAGAACAGGAACAGAACCACAGAAATGGAGATCACATGGAGGGTTAGCAACAGGGGAGCGGGAGAAGGAAAGAGGGGGAAGATACAAAAAATAAGTAGCATAGATGGTAGGTAGAAAATAGACAGGGGAGAGCAAGAATAGTATGGGAAATGTAGAAGCTAAAGAACTTATGACACATGGACATGAACTAAATGGGGGGAATGTGGGTCGGAGGGGGTATTCAGGGTGAGGGGAATGAAAGGGGGAAATGGGACAACTGTAATAGCATAATCAATATAATATATTTTTTAAAAATCAGGAGGGATCTTGGGAGCCAGTGATCTCAAACCCAGATCAGACCATGCAGCCCAGGGTTCCAGACCCAGGAGAGTAAGTGCCCATAACTTCTGGCTGTAAAAACCAGTGGAGGTTGGGACAGGGGAAAAAACTGCAGGATTCTCAAGAGACTCCTCTTAATGGGAACAAAATGGTTTCAGGACTCACACAGACCCACCCCCTCTGGAATTCAGCACCAGGGCAACAGCTGGAAGGGCACCAGTGGCATACAGGGAGAAGGGGAGAAAGGGAAGTAACTGGCAACAGGGCAAGCATCAGGAGACAGCTTGCTTCAGGGAAATCTCCAGAGACCAGGCAGCAGCACTATCTCCTCTCTAAGCCCTCCCCTCACATAGAGCCAGAAAACAGTGAAATGGGTTGCCCAACCCTGGTGATTACCTAAGGCTCCACCCCAATTTACAGGTGCCCTTTTTACAGTAGGCCACACTGCTAAGAAAGAGAGTCAAAGTAGCTCTACCTTAATACAGAGAAACAAACACAGGGAGGCTGCCAAATTGAGGAGACAAAGAAATATGGCCCAAAGGGAAGAACATATCAAAACTCTAGGACAATAACTAAACAAAACTGAGGTAAACAACCTATCATGCAGAGTTCAAAACACTGGTTATCAGGATCTTCAAGGGACTCATTGGGTATTGAAACAGCTTAAAAAAGACCCAGGCAGAAGTAAAGGTTGCATTAACTGAAGTAAAGACAAATCTATGGGAACCAACAGTAGAGGGAATGAAGACGAGAATCAAATTAATAATTTGGAACATAAGGAAGAAAAAAGAATAAAAAAATGAGACTAGAATAAGGAGACTCTGGGATGTCTCCAAATGTACCAACATCTGAATCATAGGGGTGCCAGAAGGAGAAGAGGAAGAGTAAGAAACTGGAAACGTATTAGAAAAAATAATGAAAGAAAACTTCCCTAATTTCGTGAAGGAAATAGACATGCAAGCCCAGAAAGCACAGAAAATCCCAAACAAGTTGGACCTAAAGAGGACCATACCAAGACACATCATAATTAAAATAACAAGTGCTGCCCTGGCTGATGTAGCTCAGTGGATTGAGCATGGGCCTGTGAACTAAGGGATCATGGTTCGATTCCCAGTCAGGGCACATGCCTGGGTTGCAGGCCAGTTCCCAGTAGGGGACACACGAGAGGCAACCATACATTGAGATTTCTCTCCCTCTCTCCTTCCCTTCCCCTCTAAAAAGAAATGAACAAAATCTTTTAAAAATACCGAAGGTTAAAGCTAAAGAGAGAATCTTAAAAGCAGCAAGAGGAAAGCAGAGAGTTAACTTCAAAGAAATTCCCAAAAGACTCTCAGCTGGTTTCTGAAAAGAAATCTTGTAGGCTAGAAGGGGCTGGTAAAAAGTATTCAAAGTGATGAAAAGCAAGGACCTATAACTTACTCTATCTAGCAAAGCTATCATTTAGGATTGAAGGGTAAACTGCTTCCCAGACAAGGTAAAACTAAAAGACTTCCTTATCATAAAGCCATTACTATGTAAAATGTTAAAGGGAACTATATAAGAAAAAGATCAAAAGTATGAACATTAAAATGGCAACAAATGCACAACTATCAAAAACTGAATCTAAACAGCAAATTAAGCAAACTAAGCAAACAAGCAGAACAGGAACAGAATCATAGTTATGGAGATCATTTGGGGGATTATCAACTGGGTGGGAGAAGGAGAAAATGGGGGAAAAGGTGCAGGGATTAAGAAGTACAAATTGGTAGGTACAAAATAGACAGGGGGATGTTAAGGACAGTATAGGAAATAGAGTAGCCAAAAAACTTACATGCATTACCCAGAAATATGAACCAAGGGAGGGGACTGCTGGAGGGAATGGGGGTTCTGGGTGAGGGAAGACAAAGGGGAAAAATTGGGACAATTGTAATAGCATAATCAATAAAATATATTTTAGAAAAATGGTCTTCAGTAGTTTGTATTTTTAATTATAATCATATTCAGTGTCTGCAAACTTGGCTTCCTTATGTTTTCAGACTTTACTCATTAATTACTTTTTACTTACTTTTCAAGGAAACACTAATCTCTTGGTAATATTAATTAGCAAGCCTCAGGTTCCAAAATCCTGACCTATCTTGTTGGTGGCTGATTCTTTAGTTGAGATGTCTTTGGATGCTGAGGTGAGATGAGAATTTTGGCATAGATTAAACACAATAATATAGGGGCCCTGACTTCTTATCTTTTAATGTGGACTGTGACACTGTAGAATATACATATATAATTAAATCAAAGAATAACTTTTGTCATTAACCTCAAAACTTAATATATTAATTTTATATAAATTATTTCCTTAGTATACACATGTAAGGTATGTATACTAAGGAGAATAATGAGCATTCTACATATATTAGAGAAATCTGTTTGTCTGTATACAAAATAGATACACACCAGGTTGACCAAAAAGTCCATATAGTTTTTTCCATAAAATAAAAGATTCGTTTTTAATTTTAAACAATAACTTTATTGATCTGGATATTTTGAATAGGTCAACTATCTCCTGCATGGTAGAACATTGATTGTTCTCAGTTAGTGTCTTGATTTAATTGCTATCAACTTTAACTGGTCTACCCAACCGTGGAGCATTGTCCAGCAAGAAATTTCCAGCACAAAACCTTGCAAACCACTTTAGACATGTTTGATCAGTCACAGCACCTTCTCCACACACTGCACAAATCTCTTATTGAGTTTCAGTTGTGGTTTCACCTTTCTTGAAATAATAAAGCATAATATATCAAAAATACTGTGTATTTTCTTGTCTTTCAGGGGCTGGGTACAGGTGGGCAAAGGGGGTAAAATGGGGGCATCTGCAATAGTGTCAACAATTGAAAAAAAGAAGTTAGTGCAGTAGACCAAGTGAGGGATATTATGGGCCAGAAGGAAGTCTTGTTTGACTCCCAAATAGTACTAGGCTTTCTTTCTAGAGCTCTCCCAACTTCCTATACTTTTCTTTTATAGCCCTTACCTCATTTTGCCACTACACATGTATTTATTTGGTTATTAGATTGATGTATATTCCCCACCAGACTGTATATTCGACAGGGTGGGGGCCATGTCTCTGTTGCTCTCCATTGTATTCCCAGCACCTAGTACAGAGTCTGATGCATATTTGCTGAATAAGTGAAAAAAATAAAAGAGATGGCCGTTATAAAGAGGAGAGATTCCAGAAAATTTTGGAAAATTGAATTGATAGATTGATGTGGAAATAAAGTATGAGGATTAGATGATTTTAGATTCTGGCCTGGGTGTCAGATAAGAATTACAGCAAGAATAGATTCAAAGGGGAAATACTGAGATTGTTTGGGGGTTAGCTGATTTGATTTGGCTATGGTATTTCCATATTAAAATATCTAGTGGGCAGAATTGACAGGTCTGCGTTTCCTGTTTTTGGACTTGCTGACCTTTTGCACCTGGACTATTACTGCAACCATGAGCAGATCATATAAATTTTGTTCTTAGGTCTAATAGAGTGGGAGAGTTTTAAACTATTGCTCTTCCTGGCAAAGAATACTGTTAGGGAAAACGTGTTGGCCTATAGCACGCCCACAGACACAGCTCTCATCCACCAAGTGGCCTATGGGCTAGAAGGCAGCCTCAACAGTTGTTTGGAATTCTTGAGAGCAAAAAACCGTCTCTATATTTACCCAGATCATAAGAGTTATAGTACAAGTTGCATGTAAGCCTAAATTTCCAAGAATCCCCTATCTTAATTCTGGAGAGCATATTTTTACTATTTTGAAAGAAAGTAGGGTGGTTGATCTGAATGATTTTGCAAATCAGTGTACATTTTTTGTTAGTGTTCTGTGGGCCACTGTATCTTCTTTCCCTAACCCACTTTTTCGGCCACTATTAAACGTGTAGTCTTTTTTATGAGAACCACTTTTTTAAAATGAGAATGACTGACTGAACCAAAGAAAACAGGAAAATTGACCACACTAATTTATACTTTCAGTTAGTCAAAAATTCTTTATAAGTACCTAAAAGGAACCAGGAGAAATGACCATTTTTGGCTCTGCCAATGATATTGCATTGATTATTATTTAACATTCTAATGACAGGAGCTTATCCTGCAATATAGCTATAGCTACAGTGACAGCACTTTTCTATAAGATACTTCTTGTTTTTCAACAGATACAATATATATTTTTATTATATACATTACATTGAGTGGTTATTATATATGTGTAGTATATAATTATATATTGTATGGTTAATAATATACCTTTAAAATGCTTGTATTAGAGAAGGTCTCCAAAACTGGTTAACTCAAATGATGAGACTCTTGCTTTTAAGTATTTATCTATTTTTTTTTTTTTTTTTTTTTTTTTTTTTTATTTTATTTATTTTATTTTATTTTAAGTGTATTTTATTTACTATACTGTTACAGTTGTCCCCATTTTTCTCCTTTGCCCTCCTCCACCTAGTACCTCCCTTCCATCCAGCAATATCCACCTCCTTAGTTCACATCCATGGGTCATGTGTGTCAGTTCTTTGGCTTCTCCATTTCCTATACTATTCTTAATATTCCCATCTATTTTGTTCCTACCAATTATGCTTAATTCCTGTACCTTTTCCCTCATTCTCCCTCTTCCCCCTACCTGCTGATACCCCCTCTAAATGATCACCATACCTATGTTTCTGTTCCTATTCTGATTGTTCGCTTAGTTTATTTTTATTTTTTAGATTCAGTTGTTGATAGCTGTGAGTTTGATGTCATTTTAATGTTCATAGTTTTGATCTTATTGTTTTTCTTAAATAATTTTCTTTAACATTTCATGTAATAATGGCTTGGTGATGATGAATTCCATTAGTTTTACCTTGTCTGGGAAGCACTTTATCTGCCCTTCAATTCTAAATGGTAACTTTGCTTGATAGAGTAATTTTGGTTTTAAGGACTTCTTGAAAGAAGTATTCATCACTTCTGGCATTCAAAGGTTCTTTTGAGAAATCAGCTGACAGTCTTATGGGAACTCCCCTGTAGGTAACTAACTGCTTTTCTCTTGCTGCTTTTAAGATTCTCTCTTTATCTTTAATCTTTGGCATTGTAATTATGATGTGTCTTGGAGTGGGCTTCTTGGCATCCATCTTGTTTGGGACTCTCTGTGCTTCCTGGATTTGCATGTCTATTTCCTTCATCAAATTAGGGAAGTTTCATAATTTTTTCAAATAGATTTCCAATTTCTTGCTCTTTGTCTTCTCCTTTTGGCACCTCTTTGATGCATATATTGGACATTTTGAAGTTGTCTCATAGGCTGCTTACACTATCCTCATTTTTTAAATTCATTTTTCTTCTTGTTGTTCTTTTACATCATTATGTTGTATGTTTTTTTACTTCATTATGTTCCAAATCATTGATATCATTCTTGGCTTCTTCCATTCTACTGCTGTTTCCCTGTAAATTGTTCTTATTTTAATTAGTGAATCCTTTGTTTCTGACTGTATCCTTTTTTATGGTGCTAAGTCCTCTCTAAGTTCCTTTAGCATCCTTATAACTAGTATTTTGAACTTTGTACCTGAAAGATTGCCTATCTCCCTTTTCTTTAGCTCTTTTTTTGGAGTTTTAATCTGATCTTTCATTTGGGTCACAGTTTCTTTATCTCCTCATTTTGGCAGCCTCCCTGTTTGTTTTGTATGTATTAGGTAGAGCTGCTTTGACTCTATTGTCTTGGTAGTGTGGCCTAATGTAGTAGGTGTTCTTCAGGGTCCAGTGGCACAGCCTCCCCTATTAGCCAAGCTGAGTATTCAAGGTGCACCCTTTGTGTGGGTTGAGTGCACTCTCTTGTAGTTGAGCCTTGGTTGCTATTGGCAGATCAATGGGAGGCATTTACTCAGGTCAGTCAGCTGCAAGGAGGGGCTATGACCACTTACCACCAACCTCTGTCCCCTGTGGAGGATCGGCTGTGCAGGGGCAGGGTGGTGGTTCTGTGAATGGTCTATACTGTCCACTTGGTGGACTGGCTCTGGGGTTTCCCAGGTGGTGCAGGTCAAGGTCAGTCCCCAGCTGTGTTCTCCCCTGGGGCTTCCCTTTTTGAGCTATAAAGCAATCTGAGATGGCTGCTACTTGTGCTGAGCTTGGAGATTTCCAGGCAAGGAAAAGATGTGAATCTAAGCCGGCTGCTACTAGTGCCAGGCCTGGGGCTCACTTAGGCCAGATGTTGCTTGTTTGATAGGATTTGGGGAGTGGTAAAGCAGGAGTGAAGACCAGCCATTCATATGAAAAAAAAAAAAAAAAACAGCTTGGGTGGGCCTGTAAGTTGGGTAGGTCAGAGAGTCTCTAGGGATCTCCAAGGAAAGTCAAACAGTGTTAATCAGGTTAATGGAGTCTCAAATATAGCAGCAGCATGCCAACTCCACGGCTCTGTGGGAGGAGGGCTCAGAAAAGGGACAGTGGCTTCTGGTTACCCTAATGCCAGATGCTTTAGCCTCTTCCATTATGCCACTGGTGCCCTTCAAGCTGTCACCCAGGCACTGTAACTCAGAATTAATCTGAGTAGGTGAGTCTGTGTGTTGGGTTTTTTTTTTAAAGAGAAATAGCTTGGGGCTCCAGGAGTTTCTTCTTCCACCGATTCAATCCCTCTGCTTTTTTTTTTTTTTTTTGCAGCCATAAATTGTGGGGACTTAACTTCCCAGCATTGGAATCCTGGACTGGTGGGCCTGGTGTGGGGCCGAGACTCCTCGCTCCTGAGATATCCCTTTGGAATTTTTACCTACCACACATAAGTGAGAGACCAGACTGTTCTGAGTCTGTGCCCCTCCTACAAGTCTGGATGGATGTGGTTTCTTTAATTCCATAGTTGTCAGACTTCCATTCAACTTGATTTCTAATTATTCTGAGTGATGGTTGTTCTATATTTTAGTTGTAATTTTGACGTGGTTGTGGGAAGCAGTGAGCCATGTCTGCCTATGCTGCCATCTTGACCAGACGGACTTACTCAGATTCACTCCCTCTGAGCTCCAGCACCAAGGTAGCACCTTGAAAGGCACCAGTGGCACCCAGGGAGAAACTGAAGTGTCTGGCATTAGGGAAGGCAGAGGCCATTGTCACTTTTCTAAACCCTCCTCCCACAGAGCCGGCAGGCCGGTACCATATCTGAGACTGCACCAACCTGGCTAACACTGTCTGCTCTGCCCTGTAGATCCCCAGAGACTCTGCTCCACCCAACTTATGGGCCCACCCAAGCTGCTTTTCCATATGAATGGTTGCTCTTGAGTCATTCTTCAGAATTTCCTAAATCCTCTCAAACAAGCCATAGCCAGACCCAGTGAGCCCCCAATCCCCAAATCTCTCAGTAAGTACCCCAAGGCCCAGGCACTAGCAGCAGCCAGCCTAAATTCACAGCTTGACTTTACCTGGGAATCTCCAAGCCCAGCACAAGAAGCAGCCATCTCCGATTGCTTTAAAACTCAGGTAGGGTAGCCCTGGGCACAACACGGGTAGGAGCTGATCTTGGTCTGTACCACCCAGGAAAACTCAGAGCCTACCAGTGGACAGCTATAGACCACATCAGAGCACCACCACGCTGCCCCCACACGGGGTGGGGGCAGAAATGGTGGTCAGTGGTCAGAATTGGTCCTTGAAGCTGACTGGCCTGGGTAAATCTAGCCTCTCGTTGGTCTGCCAATAGCAATCAAGGCTGACTTACAAGAGGAGGATGCGCCCAGCCCATACAAAGAGCACAACTCATGTACTGAGCTTAAAAGGTATGGAAGGCTGTGCCAATGGACGCTACAGGACACCTACTACATTAGGCCACACTATCGAGATACCACGCTATCATAGCAGCTCTACCTAATACATATAAACAAACATAGGGAGGTTGTCAAAATGAGGATACAAAGAAACATGTTCCAAGTGAAAGAGCAGATCAAAACTCCAGAAAAAGAGCTTAAACAAAATGGCAATAAGCAATCTATCAGGTACAGAGTTCAAAACACTGGTTATAGAGATGCTCAAGAAACTTAGAGAGGACCTCAGCAGCATAAAAAAGGATCCAGTCAGAAACAAAGGATTCACAGTAATTAAAATAAGAACAATTTACAGGGAAACAGCAGTAGAGTGGAGGAAGCCAAGAATGAACAATGTTTTGGAATATAAGGAAGCAAAAAACAACCAAGCAGAACAATAAGAAAAAATTATCCAAACAAAACGAGAATAGTGTAAGCAGCCTATGAGACAACTTCAAGCATTTCAACATTTGCATCATAGAGGTGCCAGAAGGAGAAGAGAAAGAGCAAGAAATTGGAAATCTATTTGAAAAAATAATGAAAGAAAACTTCCCTAATTTGATGAAGACATGCAAGTGCAGGAAGCACAGAGAACCCCAAACAAGATGGATGCAAAGAAGCCCACTCCAAGACACATCATAATTACAGTGCCAAAGATTAAAGATAAAGAGAGAATCTTAAAAGCAGCAAGAGAAAAGCAGTTAGTTACCTACAGGGGAGTTCCCATAAGACTGTCAGCTGATTTCTCAAAAAAACCCAACAACAAAAAAGACCCTCTGCAGGCTGGAAGAAATCTGCAAGAAATATTTAAAGTTATGAAAAGCAGAGACCTACAGCCAAGATTGCTCTACCCAGCAAAGCTATCATTTAGAATTGAAGCACACATAAAGAGCTTCCCAGACCAAGAAAAATTAACAGAGTTCATCATCACCAAACCATTATCATATGAAATGTTAAAGAAAATTATTTAAGGAAAATAATAAGATCGAAACTATGAACAATAAATGGCAACAAATACATATCTATCAATAATTAAATCTAGAAAATGATGGGAAGGGGTTGAGGTGGCTGGGTGAAGAGGTGAGGGGACTAAAAAGTACAAATAGGTAGTCATAAAATACCCACAGGGATGTAAAGAACAGTATAGGAAATGGAGTAGATAAAGAGCCTATGTGTATTACCCATGGACATGAACAATGATGTGCCGATTGCCTAAAGGGGAGTAGGGGTGCTGGATGGAGGGGAGCAAATGGGGAAATATTGGGACAACTGTAATAGCATGAACAATAAAACATAATTAAAAATTTGTCATCCCTTGCTTTAAATTGCTCACAATAAATAAAGACATAATGAATAAGGACTAAATTCCTTACTAGGTCCTATAAGGTCATGCACAATATGGTCCTCCAGCCACACCTAATCCCTCACTCTCCCAGCTATGTGGGTCTTTTACTCACTGCCTGCCCCCAATACCCTCAACTCTATCATAGGACCTTTACCACCTATCTGTCTGTCTGAAATGCTTTTCCCTCCCTTTCCCACCTAGTTAACTCCCACTCATCCTTCAGGCCTCACTACCCCTTCTGGGGGTGAACTGGGTAGACGATTCCCTGACTTCTAATTCAGATTACCCCATTGTAGCACACATAGACATAGCATGGCACTTTCTTCACTTCCTCCATAGGACTGTCTCTACTGAACTTCACATTTGTTTGTGTTATTCCTTGTTTCTTCAAGTAATCAGTGCCTAAACAAATTCTGGCTCTCTCTCCTTCTAGACACAACATTCCAGGATTGTACTTCCCTTCCCACTTGAAATTAGGTGGGTCTCTCTTTGTTCTTGCTTTTGTCAATGGAATGTGAACAGAAGTAGCCTGTGTCACTTCTTGTCAGAAGGTTTAGGAGCCAGTACTTGCTTCCCTGCATTCTTTTTTTTTTTCCTTCTGGAGTGGTGACTGGCAACATTCCATATGTTTCCAGGAACTACAACACTGGACCAACCCATTAGGGACATTAAGTATGAGCAAGTAATAAGCCTTTGCTGTTCTAAGCAAAGCTTGATATTTTGTGACATTTGTTGCCATAGTCTATCATGGCTGATATCTTTCTCCCTCAACAGACCCTAAGTGCCATGAGGATAGCAGCTTTGTCTGTTATGCTAGGCACGTATGAGTGCTCAATAAAATAGATGCTTAATTAATTCTAATACAGGCTTTATCCATTAATCTCTTCTCATCTCCCCCAACTTAGATTCCCTTTATTCATTCATGTATCCATATGTTGTGGACTGCTCTGCCTGGTTTTAAGAATTGTAACTCTACCCCCCGTGGCTAAGGATGAGTCAGTGACCTCTGGAATGAGAGCTGCAGGAGACAAAGCTTGTCTCTGGTAGCAAATGCTGCCTCAGTTTTCTCCCTGCTCCCAAAGCATGGCCAGAAGTCCTTTACAGGTAAGACCCCTCAGAGGAGGGGTAACCTAGGCCAGACACGATCACTTGGGAGGCCTTCATGGAAGGACTCAGGGGGCTGCAACAAAGAGCAATGGACTCTCTCTCCCCAGCTTTGACATAGCCCGAGTCCCCATGTTCTCTGGGAGAAGCTCTTCCTGGCTCTAATGCCCTTAAGCCTGAATACCTGTTGGGGAGAAGTGCAGCTCCTTGCCTTGCTAGAGTGTGTCCTGGGGAAAAATCTGGCATCACAAAGACTTCATGATAAACCTGTGAAATCTGCTCTGCTAAGAGTGCTTTCATTAATATGTTAAGGGTTTGAGCGGGAAACCCTAAAACTATTCTTGACAGACTCTGACTCAGACTAAGCCCTCAGATTTCTTTGAAATGTTATCTACTGTTTGATCCTTGCCACCCTGTATTCCTGTGTATTACAACCCAATAAAAGCCTTGGAGGAAGGGGCTCAATGCTTTTTTTTCCCTGTGAAACTGGTCATTGCTCGTGGCCTTTTTCCTCTGGGAAACTGGCCACCTCTCCTCCCCAAGCATCATGTCTCAGTCATGTTTACTCTCATCCATGGCACACGGGGAGACTTGCAAGGAAAGTTGCCCCCACATCCATACATTCAATCAATGTACATTTAATTGGAAATCTCTTCAAAAGGTAATAATTCAAACTAAATTTTCATTGCTAATGGAGGATTTGACATGAGGTAATACGTTTTCTTTCTATATACAAACCTGCCTCCATTGACCATTACAGGGTTCCTGCTGTAAGCTGTCTTTCTAGAGTGATGTCAAGCCTGTCCTATGGAATCTAGATTCACATGCCAGATCCCTTTGACAAAAACCTGGCTGCAGCCAGAGGAGGGTACATTTTTCAGTAGCATAGCTGACTGCCTTATTTGGGAATTGAGCTCATGAACTTGGCTCCTTTAGCAGCACAAAGTCCCTAACCAGTCTTATGCCCACACTGAGGAGTGTCAAAGTTATAGTAATTCACAGCAACAGAAGCTCATGTGTGCAAGATGCAAGACACTTTTCTTCTGTGCAGTGGGTACAGACCCTAGCATGTGAGTCAAAGTGTGAAATCTGGGGTCCTAAGGACTCCAAACAATAGGAATGTTTCTTTATCAACCCCTAGGGTTGCTTCCACAGGGGTTGAGCTGAGTATGAGGCCAGTCTGCGACCAAAAAGCATGGCAGGATGAAGGGTGGCAAAACATGCCCCACCCCAACACTGTGGAAAGTTTCTGTATTAACTCAGTTCTAAAGAGTATGAGCAAAATTGACCATCTGAGAGAAATCTGCAAGCAAAGAAACTTTGGATCCTTGAATACACTTGCTTGTCAGTCAGTTCTGGCTGATTATCTTACCTGGTTAGAGCAAAATGCTAAAAGTTAAAAATCTGGTCCCCAAAAGGTCATTGCTTTGTCCCACTGCTCCAGGCTCTCTAGCCTCAATCTGTTTGCCTGACGCTATATGTAGTCAGTATGCATGAATGGATCTGGAAAACCCACTTCAAACCACCTGCCCTACTTAGAAAGGATCAGTGGCTACATCAGTAGAAAAGGTGATGCATTAATTGATACTAACTTCATGGATGTGTAGTATGACTTGCTGTTAGAGCTTAAAAAGGCACTAATATTCCTTTCTGTTTTTTGTAGTAGCTTATATTTATGGATAGTAGTTTGAAAATGAACCCTCCAGCAAAAAAAAAAAAAAAAAAAGACTTATGGAATCCACTGTTCTTGTTTTTTTTTATTCTTTTAAGTATTTGGTTCTGTTGTGACTGACAGCTTTTTGTGTATGTGAGAAACAGGAACCTGGTAACTTCACATTATTGCTACTTTTTCCACTTGAATTTCTCCCTGAGAAATGATAACACAAGTGCTTTAGATGAAAAACCCCAGCTAACAGTGCCGTCAGCACCACTTGCTTGTTTCAAGCCTTGTTTTCTTTGTGTTCTCACTTAGTGTTTCTCAATGTGCGGTGCAGGGAACAAATGCACCAGAATTGTTTATGGTAAATATCTGGAGGAGAGGGATTCTGCATGTTTAGTGAGTTGCGTAGGTGATTTTTATGCATGCTGAATTTTGAGAACCACTGCCTTGTAGGGACCATCCTGGGAAGCCACAGCCATGTGTTTTTCACAGTAAAATAGAAGAGAAACCATCTCCCCTACTAGGCAGGAGACCACAGACCTTCCTGAGCTCCCCTTCTGTCCCCATTTCTGCTTCCAGTGTTCTCTTTCCCCTTTGAAGCCAAACTTCCTTGACAGTCAGTACTTGTTCTGATCCTGCTTATAGGGGGGCAACTGGTAAACCCAACTGGCTATAGTCTCGCACTCTGAGTACCATTTCAATGAGAAATAGTGCAAAGGCACTGGCATAAGGGTGCTGAGGGCTTCAGCCTCGGTTTCTAGTTGAGACTTCAGCTGAAATAGGTGCTCTTATGGGTGGCATGCAGCCTACGTGTAACTGCATTTTCCTTGTCTAAGCTACTTTTGCGGCCAGTATTGTGAAGCAAGTGGTGAAGGGGCTTTCAGCTTCATTTCAGCTGTTAAATCCCAGCCAAGCAGTTCTGTTGTACCAGCAGTTTTACATCCTCGAGAGCCGCCTGCACTACAGCAAGACTTTAGCTGAGTATATTAGGAGAAATGACAGAGAAGAATTCAGGTAAGAAGTCTGAATCTAACCTGCAGTAAAATCTATTCATTTCTAATCTTCATGCAAAACTGCAACATGGCCACATATTTAGAAGATTAAGTGACAATGGGAAATTCTATTTTTGCTTTTAATAATATCTCACTTTGATTTGTAGTAAGGTAGAATTTGGGGGAGCTCTAAGAACCATTGCCATTTGAAATATATTCCCAGGCCAGAAAAGACTAGTGAAACATCAAACTCTCTCTGAAGAGCTGTTTCTTACTCATTGTTTTTATTGCAGAAGTTGTAATGATTTTAACATGCTGTGAGAATTAAGAGTAACAAATGCCACTGAAAGGGATGAAAAATTACGGATTGTGAATTCAACTGAGTCACTGGGGAAGAAACTGATGAGGAAACAATGAATGAATGTAGTTATTAGGTTTTTGTTTATTTCATTTCCCCTCCTGCTCTCAGTCAGGAGGCAGTAAGAAAGAGCAGTAGTAGCAAGCCTTGGTTTCATCAGCCAGCTTGTTCTGCACCTCAGGGGTTCCTACTTCTATTTATAGGCTGGCAAAGTCAAGTGCACTTAGCTCTACAGCCCTGCATCAGCTCCTATCAAGAAAAAAAACAGGTTGTGTCTGACTTAAGATGAAAAGGGTGCAGCAGGCATTGCTTCACTACCAGTTCGAACAGAGACATAAAAGGACGTGGAGATATACATTATGGCCTTAGATTAGCTTTAAAAAAATTAGCCCAATTTGTGGATTCTGTTTTTTCTCCATGTGGTTTTACAATATAGGTTCCACTCTCACTCCTACAAAAGGGTTTTGCTTGGCCTGCTCTGAGTTGGTCCAAACAACGCAATTTTTCCTCACTTTGTTTTTTTAGGTAAAATTCATATATAATGAAATTCACCATTTTAAACATTTTAAGGTGGCAATTCAGTGGCTTTTAATACATTTTGCAACATTGGGTGAGCACAACTCACCATCTAATTGCAGAACATTTTCACCTTCCCCAAAGAAACCTGGTACCCATGAAGCAGTTCTCCCTTTCACCAGCCCCTGACAACCACAGATATGCTTTCTGTTTCTATGGAGTTGCCTATTTTGGATACTTCTTATCAACGGACTCATGCAATATACAGCCTTTTGTGTCCGGATTCTTTCACTTAGCATAATGTTTTCAAGGTCCCCCCGTGCTGTGGCATGTATCACATAACCCAATTTTTAAAAATGACTTACCCACTTCTGGCCAAGACGGAGGCATAGGTGGAAACACTGTGCCTCCTCGCACAACCAAGTTTAAAGACAACAAAGTTTTAGTAACAAAAACGCAATCAAAACACAGAAAATTGAACTATACCGAAGTCCGACAACAACGAACCGTTCAGCCAGACTGGTAAGAAGGGTGAAGCCACCGACTGGCAGAGCGGGGTTGCGCATGAAAACTCAGCCAGCGTGATCCAGGCACGGGCGGCAGTTGGTGGATCCCAGGCGTGGAGTTGTGATGGGCAGACCCAGTGAGGGTGTAAGGCAGCAGGCTGACCGAAGTCACACATTTGCCTGCAGAGAAACCAGGCGAAGGAGCCAGCAGTGAGATGGACTGCGCAGGCCCCAGTGGTGGGAAACAGCAGCGCAGACCACTACTGCCCCTCTTTGACCCCGCCCCCACATACAGCATCACAACCCAGTGACCTGGATGGCCCCGCCCTGGTGAACACTTAAGGCTCCCCTTCTCATACATAACAGGTGCGAACAGACCAAAACATTATGGCTCAGGAAGAATTCAAAGCCCCAGAGCCAATAACTCTAAGCGACCAAGAAATAGCCAACCTATCAGATGCACAGTTCAAAACACTGGTGATTAGGATGCTCACAGAACTGGTTGTTTTTAGTGACAAATGAGAGGAACATATGAAGGCTAAACTAATTGAAATGAAGCAAAATGCACTGGAAACCAATAGTGATGGAAAGGAAACTGGGACTCAGTTTCCTTTCCATCAAGGGAGTGGACCAGAAGGAAGGAAAAAATGACCAAAGAGAAAAGGATGAAGAAACAAGAATTCAAAAAAAAGGAGGAGAGGCTTAGGAACCTTCAGGACATCTTTAAGTGTTCCAACATCCGAATTATAGGGATACCAGAAATGGAAGAGGAACAGCAACAAGTGGAAAACTTATTTGAACAAATAATAAAGAAGAACTTCCCCCATTTGGCAAAGGAAATAGACTTCCAGGAAATCCAGGAGGCTCAGAGAGTCCCAAAGAAGTTGGACCCAAGAAGGAACACACCAAGGCACATCATCATTACATTAGCCAAGATTAAAATGAAGGAGAGAATCCTAGAAGCAGCAAGAGATAAGGGGACAGTCACCTACAAAGGAGTTCCCATCAGACTCTCAGCTGATTTCTCAAAAGAGACCTTACAGGCAAGAAGGGGCTGGAAAGAAGTATTCCAAGTCATGAAATCCAAAGACCTACATCCGAGATTGCTCTATCCAGCAAAGCTTTCATTCAGAATGGAAGAACAGATAAAGTGCTGCTCAGATAAGATCAAATTCAAGGAGTTCATCATCACCAAGCCCTTATTATATGAAATGTTAAAGAGACTTACCTAAGAAAAAGAAGATAAAAAAAGATGAACAGTGAAAGGACAGCAAACTCACAGTTATTAAGAACCACACCTAAAACAAAAGCAAACTAGGAGGACAGCTAGATCAGGAGTGAACCATAGAAATGGAGATCACATGGAGGGTTAGCAACAGGGGAGTGGGAGGAGGAGAAAGGGGGAGAAGGTTCAGAGAATAAGTAGCGTAGATGATAGGTAGAAAATAGACGGGGAGAGCAAGAATAGTATGGGAAATATAAAATCTAAAGAACTTGAGACACGTGGTCATTAAATGGGGGAATGATGGGGGAGGGGTGTGCAGGGTGGAGGGGAACGAAGGGGGAAAATAAGACAACTGTAATGGCATAATCAATAAAATATATTTTTAAGAAATGACTTACCCACATTTAAAGATCAGAAGTACTGGCCAAAATGGCATCATATTTTTATATGACAATAGTTGGCCGAAGCCCAATAGCAGCTACACTCTTGGGTGATGCTGTGTAAGTTTAATTTGCCACTGGCTCCTCTCTCTATTCTTTATCTTAACTTTACTTCTAATATGTTACCCACAGGCAGTTAGATTTGTGACACGAGTTTTAAACTAGTGATTTTCAGCTTGTATTAGATGCATTAGAATCACTAGAACAACTGACAGCCAGGTCTCATATGTAGAAATTCTGTTCAGTTTTTCTGAGGCGGGGTCTGGGTATAGACATCGGAAGAGAAAGACTCTCTAGGTAATTCTAATATGCAGCCAGGGCTGAGAACCAATGTTTTAAGCAATCCCAGGGAATGTCTGAGTTTAATCACTCTTGTCCATTCCCCTGGCCTGTCTCAGGCTTTTACCGAGGCCATGGGGATGAACCCTGCTCTTCCCTCTTGACTTGGCCCTAGTGGTCACCACAGCCTTGAATCTTTCATCCGACTCCCCCTCTATATTGCCTAAGAAACAAGAGGCAGGGGCCTCAGCTCACACTGTGGGAGGACAGTTCCCACTGTGGGGCTTCCTTATTAATGCTTTCGTGACTGATACATCATTCATGAAATTCACTTTCTTGGCTGAAGTGAAGTGCTTCAGTGAGCTGAAAGGCACACATATCAGAGATCTCCTGGGTCACAAGTGGGGGAGGTTGGAGGGCTGAGGATGTTGGCTGAGTCTCGTGGTTGAGATTCCCACACCCGCCTGCCCTACACTAGCCAGTGTGTGCATACTGATGCGACCAGTGTGAAAACTCTTTTTTTTAAAGCTCCCTATTTTGTTTCTTTTTGTGATTGCAGGTACTACGTTCACATGCCAGCCTTGGGGAAAAGGCTCCCACTGTGTTACCCTATTACCCAGCCCACCACTCAACTTTTTCATGAAGTTCTAAAATTGGTTGAACAGAAACAATGTGTGAAATGTTAAAAATTGAGTATAAAATGTTAATCAAAAGTCAAGATAATATTTATGAGAAACATTTTTTGATTTATTTAGTACCTGACTAACCCCATGTCCTATAAACAAAGATTTTATTTCAATGTTCCATCCACCCCTCACTAAGAAAAGTCTTTAAAGTTTTTTATCTGCCACAGAGAAGAAACTATAATACATTGACATAAAGTGGTGCTAAAAAGTAGTGTTTCTCTAACACAGTTTCTAAAGACGTAAAAAACTATAAAGGGAACAGAAGTCTGTGGAGGGCAAACGGAGCAACGCAACCTGATGTGTTTTGTGGGTGTAATGATGGGGAGTGGTGCGGGGCCACGGAAACGTCCAGAGATAGATCATTGTGGGGAGTATCAACCACAAAGCGGTCATCAGAGAAATGCTGAGCAACAGGACCGCACCCTCGTTCTCCACCTGTACAAATTCTAGTGACAGCAGTGTTCATGAAGAATGAGCAGAACACAGGCATAAGAAATGTCAGTCCCTCATCTATCACAGAGAAAGAAGCTTAGACTTTCTTTAACAAAATTAAATGCATTTGCCATTGTGTTTTAGGTACCTCTGTGCTCATGGGAGCAGTTGAGTGGAGCTTCTGTACAGGAGAAATTGTCTATAAGCAGTATGATCTCCCAGCCACTAAAAAAGGTCTTTACTAATCTTATGGCAATAAACTAACTTAATCCAACAAAAACTTAACTTTGGTATCACTGTGAGGTATTATGGAATTTGGGCTTTGAAGAATTTAGCATGACTTGAGGGAGTATCAGAGATAAATCCAGCTTGAATGAAAGCACTCCCAAGCCAGATTTGCCTGTGCTGTGCAGTGGAGACCACTAAACTCATTCAGGACATCTTATTTCTGGTTCTGCCTGAGCCACTAAGCAGTTTTTTGACCTTAAACAAGTCACGTAACCTTCCCAGGCCTCCTCTGCTATATAGAAGGGTGGGAATAGAAGTTCTCCAAGCTCTTTTGCTGCTCTAGTATTCTCTACCTATTATAAGACACTTTTCAACACCCTACAACAGAGCAGTGCATTCCTCCGCCATCCTGCTGTGGATGACTTCACATTGATTCCAAACAATCCTGCCTTCTTTAGACCAAACATTTCTTTTCAGCTGTCGCCAACATCATTCTGCACACTCTCCCAGCCTTCTCCACCACTACCCATCAAGGACCACAAGTTTTTTCCCCCTCCAATCTGGGGGCACGAAGAGGAACAAAATGGTGTCTACGAGTGTCCTAGGCTGTGATGTGGGGGATTATTCCAAAAAGAGAGTCCATCAGAAGAATATGAAAATATTCTTGGGAAACAGGAAAGCAACACTTTAAACTGGACAAATGGTGGGCAGTGGACAGACTACTGGTGAATGGTGGAACCAAAGAAAGACAACGAATCAACTCAGCTCTGTCAGCTTCTAAGCGGTGCCCCCTGGCTGTGGGCTCCAGAGAGGGCTGGGGGTTTCTGGCCCACATGCCTTTTTGTCAGTGTCGGCCCTTCCCTCCCACTGTTGTGTCTGCTATGAGGACACACCTCATCTAACCTCTGGGAGCAAAAGCTCTGGACCTGAATCTTTCTATGTCAGCTCTTCTGGTTGAATATTTGCCACCTTGATTTTCTTATGGCACGTGTCTATTCATTTGTACAGTCCAGGATGGAGGCAGGATGGGGGAACCTAGAAATTAATACTTTGAAGGGTTATGCTGTCACAATTCTTTTCTGTTGTGTTTTTGCATTGTGGCCCAAACCAAGAAAATCACTAAATAATCCATCTCTATTAGTGATCAGATACATTTGATTTTCTAAATACTTACTTCAACCGCAAAATAATTATTTTTCAGGAGACCTGATTGTAGAAAAAATGTGAGTATGAAAATCACATAAATAACAAAGGCTCGCCAAGAAGACAAGCACACGGAGCCGTTTTCAGGCTGGGCTCACGACTCTGGGCCCTGACCACCTTTACACTCAAGCCTTGACCTTTGCCACACCTCCACCGGGGGCAAAGCCACCACAGCGGGCAGCCCTGCCATTCAAACCAAACAAATCCCACATTTTTTGGATTATAAGACACACTTTGTTTCCCCAGATTTGGGGTAGGGGTGTGTCTTATAGTCCAAATGTAGTTTACCTGACTCACTGTGTGTGTGGGGGCAGGGTCACAGGTTATTAAATATTTTACCAAATTTTTTGCTTCAAAAAATTTTTTCCTATTTTCCTCCTCTAAAACCTAGGTGCCTTTTATGGTCTGGTGCATCTTATAGTCCTAAAAATACAGTAGATGTATTAAGGGGTAAGAAGATGGGTATTTTGAGGGCAGAATGATTGAGTTTCTGTCTCAGCTGCACACTGCTTTTAGACCTTGAGAAGGTACTTAACATCTCTAAGTTTCAGTCAACACAAAGGTGATAATATAACCTATCCCATAGCGTTGTTAGGTGACTTAAATAGAAAGGTTGGTAAAGCACATAGAATGGTATCTGGTGTATAGTAAGGAATCAGGAAATGATATTCATTATTATGATTATTAAAGTAACACCAAAGCTGGCTGAGAAACTAGGGGTTAATAAGCACTGCCCTTATTTTTTGGACCAATCTGGAGACTCAGAGAACCCTTGATCTCTACAGCATTGAAGAACAGATTCTTTTCGTTATTAAGTTGAAAACCCAGTTTTCTATCAGCAGTACGATTTAATTGACAAGGGACTATTTCTACTGCTCACCACCATGAAAGACTGTTGGCTCTAAATGACACTGTCCACGCAAGAGGTATGTGGGAAGTACTCTTCCCGAGGGTGGACAGGAAGCTTTTTACTCATATAAACTGTTTTCAGCCTTTGACCTGAATAGCTAATTGCTGATGAAACCGATGCAGCCATTATGTACTTACAGAATTACTAACAGATTCACAGGTAATGTAAGAAGAAATAAATGAAGAGTTTCTTAATTTTACTGAAATCTAGATAATCTAGATACTCTGTACATGGGGGAAGCTTGACATTTCTATAATTGATAATCATATTTTACATGTTTCCATTGGACTCTCACTCCCTGGCAGTACCACCTCTGACTGTGTGTAGGCAATGCTCAGGAGCACAGTAATAAATGTGCTATCAGACATTTGATGAAAATGGTCGAAGTTGGTTAACAGGGATACGCTCCAACTTGTGGCATTATCTTTTCTGTTTCTGAGGTTAGAATCACTGGTTTTGTATTTAACATATGTGATAAATATGGAAGAGAAGCTGAAAATTTCTTTAAGGAATGAATCTGATGGGAATTTTTGAGAACAATTTAATGGTGGTAACTCGCTGTCTGATTTCTCTTTGTTCATTGCACTTACTTCTAAAATGCAATACCAACCTGTAAGCAAATCCATTCAGATTTGGCTCTGGCTCTCTGCAGGAGGGAGACAGTCAGCAGTTCTCCATCCGGTCAGACCAAGCACTCTTCTGTCTATATAGCTGTGTCTTTTGGATCTGATGCTTTCCTCATTTTGAGGAAGGCAGCGTGACTCCATGGCTAGAAATCTGGGTAGTTGTAACGTGTGGCTAATGGTACAGATGCTGTGTCGGAAATACCTCATTTTGACCCTTGCCTGCCTACTAACTTGTCATTAGACTTTTGGCAGGTAATTATATTTGGCCTCTTTCAGAACTTTAGTTTTATCAATTATAAGGTAATAAAAAGCCTACCTTGTGGGTTTTTGTGAATATTCATTCATTTTTATGTAAAAAAAATAGTTCTATGGCCAGTATACAGAATCCAGCACAAATAATGCCTCCTTTTTTATTATAAAATCTTTTATTACAAAATCATAAGCATGTAATTCTGTGACATAACACTATCACACTCAAGTACATGATATGACATTTTAGGTGAAATGTTCAAATTAAAACTATACATTATTACGCCCATATTATTACCCTACCAACCACACTCAAGCAGGCATTACTTCTGCCGAACCCTATATATTGGGATGAACCATACGAAATTGCGATTTTCAACTTCCGACTTGTCAATATCCATAACTTCATATGGTTCAAACAATAAAAACCCCTCCATAAGTGGTGGCTATTATATTAACAGAAACACTACTTTGCTTAATGAACTTGAACTTTAAATACATACCATTTAGTCTCATTTCCCACATAGTATGGCACCTTGTTCTAACATGGCTTGTTCCTGCACAGATTAAAATAAACCTTAGATCAAATATACAGTTTAATTACAAATTATTGAGTGGGCACAACATACCTAAATATGTTCAAAATAGAATTTTTAATTGTCTTGATTGCTTTTCCCAGCAGCGAAAATCCGTTCCTCTACCAGTCTTCATGTCAGTAAATGGGACTTCATCCCTTCCACTGCTAAAGCCAGAAACTCTGTGGTGTCTCCTTTCTCTTCATCCCCCAGGTGTGATACATCAGCAGTGCTTATTAGAAATCCCTTCAACATGGATTTGTAACCTACTGATGTCCCACAATTCCTGCTGCTACATTCATTCCAACCTCCATTACCTGGCTGCAGTAGCCTATTTAGGTGATACTGCATTCACCCTTGATACCTGCGATCTTTTCTCTAAGGTGACTGGAGTGACCTTTCAAAGAAGAAAATCAATACCGTTTCTGATTTAATACTTTTCCATTGCTTCCCCTTACCCGGGACAGAACCCAGTCTTTACCGTGGCCTTCAAGGCCCTGCACGACCTGACAACCTAGGGCTCTGACTACCTAGCGCTGTGATTGGACCCAGTCACTCTTGTCTTCACTCGCTACTCCCCAAACACATTGGTCTTTGTGGTTTTCCTTTAGGTGAACAGCCTTGGAAATCTGCGCTGGCAAGTGCTATCCCCATCCCAATCTTCAAATGTGACTTCAAAGAAAGCTGCTTTGATCACTCTGAAATATTCTCCCATCCACCTACAACACCTTATAATGATTAGCGTTACTTGCTTATACTTTGCAATGTAAGAATTTA